AGCCGTGTCCCCGCTGGGATCCCCGTGCCGTGCGCTGGGATGCTTCTCTAAAGTTGTGTGTCTGTTTCGGAATGCGCTCCTGTAGCGCGCTGCCCTGTCGCGAGCAGCCGCTGTGAGTTGAGGTGCGTCCCGTTTGCGTGGGGTGAAGCAGCTTTGCGGTCACAGTCGTTGCTTAGGGAGAAGCGATGGAAAAACGCGCTGTTTTCTTTTACTGCTAGAAAAGCGAAGTAGCTGCAGGGCTTGCAGAGGCCCTCCCCAGTGCTGAGTCAGCCCTGCGTGCCGGGCGGCTCAGCTGCGATTAGGGCCTGACAGCGCGTGGTCACAGCAGGCCAGCAGGCAGGTATCCTGCGGGATGCTTGGAAGGAAGGAAGCCGGCAGTGCAAGGAAATCACCAGGGCCGACACCAAGAAGTTGTCTTCAACTGTTCCAAGTTCTGAAGTGCAGTAACAGCTTTTCTAAGGGATGAGTTTTACTTGTGTTCTGGCTCTAACAGTTGTGGACAAACAGAAATCCAAATGCCTGACCACAGAGGGAGGAGAGATTCCCTCGCCTTTCCTTCCCCCTGTGATTGCTGGAATTCAGCTATGCTGGCAAACCTGATTGTGGGAGAGGGTTTCTGTTTTTACACACCTGAGCAAAATGCTTTGAGTCATTCAGGCCAACTGATTATTTCCAACAAGCCATCTTGATTTCCCTAGCAATCGATGAGTACAAGCCCCTGGATGCCACCACAAACCCTTCTCTGATACTGGCTGCTGCTCAGATGCCTGCATACCAGAAACTCGTGGATGATGCGGTTGCATATGGAAAGAAACTGGGGGGGTAAGTCAAGAGTTGAGGGTTTTTTGTTTTTTTTTTTACTTTTTCTCAGTAGGTGTATATTTAAGACGCTTTATTAATGCAAATAGTGTTTTGTAATCCTAGCAACACAGTGGGTTTTCCACTCATCTGCTTGTGTACCTTTCTCCAAAGGCAGAACATAACTGCTTCTGCTCTGCTCAATGCGCGTTTGAGCACAGGAACTTAGTGCTAAATAGGCTGTGAAATTTGATCTTTAAATCAATGGCAAGGCTTGAATGCACTTTATTTTTTTTCCCTCCCATGGTTTTTAGGTCAGAAGATGAGCAAATCCAAAATGCTTGTGACAAACTTTTCGTATTGTTTGGAGCTGAAATATTGAAGAGGATACCTGGCCGTGTGTCCACAGAAGTAGATGCAAGGTTGGCTGCTTTTCCTCTGGGTTAGCCTAGATCTTGGTACATACAAAGAGAGACACGATAGAGTTGATGAAATCCATTCTTGTCTGGACAGCTCAGTGTTACAAGGCTAGCAGGGGTTTGTATTGTTAATATTTAAATGAACTGCACTTCATTCTCTTACTTGTTTTAACTTGGTGACAAAACTTCATGAGGACAAGTAACACAGATCTGATCTTTGTTGTACTCATACTGGTCCTTAAACAAGGGAAACCTCGTGCTTCTGGTATGTGTCCGTGGAGGTGTTCAAGGCCAGACTGTATGGGGCCTGGTCTAGTATTAAATATGGGTGTTGGTGGCCCTGCCTGTGGCAGGGGGGTTGGAGCTTGATGATCCTTGGGGTCCCTTCCACCCCAAGCTATTCTATGATACTTAGAGCTTTGTTCATTCTCTTCTGTGTGATATTGCCCTCAATTTCCTGGAGACCAGTTCTAGCAGTTTATTTAGAAATAGGATTTGTCTGCTCCTTGTCAAGTCACCTTTAGAGCACAGTTTATACATTCATTATGGAAAAACTTGCAGAAAGTTTTATTCTATAGCTTTCTTGTGGAAAGTCACATTGAGCTCTGAATTCTCTGAATCAAACACCAGCAGTGTTGGCACAGAGCTCCTTGTCAGGCTTACAGTCAAGGAAGCATCTCCAAGGAAAAAACCCTGTTACAAGAACATAAATTCTGACAAAATAGGACAATTGTTCTGAATGATACTTCTTTTGGAGAGGGCTATTAAAAAGGAAAAAAAAGCACAACTTTAAAGAAGCCCTGTTCTTGTTCCAAAGGTTGTCTTTTGATAAAGAAGGAATGATTCAGAGGGCCAGGCGGCTGATTGACCTTTATAAGGAAGCAGGAATTGGTAAAGATCGGATTCTCATAAAGCTTTCTTCAACATGGGAGGGAATTCAGGCTGGCAAGTAAGTACTTCTATACCTGGTGTGCTGATTCATAGCATGCTTCTGGCTATTCACAGGCACTTGACAAACACGTTCTACACTTAAAATAAAGAACTGTTTTGAAAGCACAGCACCAGGAAGTCTGTTGCTAGGTCTGCAGTAAGCACAGTGGCATACTGGAGCTTTCTGTTCATTAGGAAAAGTTTGTTCATACAAGGGGCAGGCCATTCATAAAAAGTTTCCTGGAATGTCACATTAAACCATCTGCACTTGGTTTGATGAAAAACATTAAGTAGATCACTGGGAGCCTGGCAGTGTAAAACTTTGTTCTGCTACCTTTGAACTTTAAAGCTTGTAAACTGTACCACATCTCCTAATGTAAGTTGAGGAATCAGTAGGTTAACCTATTAACTTACTGCTAGAATGTACAGTAGGTGAGCAAACTGCCATTTTAAGCCAGCCTATGTCTGCAGGGTTCTGGAAGCAGAGTACGGGATTCATTGCAACATGACCTTGCTGTTCTCCTTTGCTCAGGCAGTTGCCTGTGCTGAAGCTGGGGTTACTCTGATCTCCCCATTTGTAGGACGCATCCTGGATTGGCATGTTGCTAATGGAGATAAGAAAACCTATGAACCTTCAGAAGATCCAGGTTAGCTTTTCTTGTTTTTGAGTGCAACGGCTATATGTTCAAATTTTAATTAACTTTAAAAATCCCCTTGTGAAACAAATGTTTTTCAGTATGTTCTAATTAACCATTTATAATTTGATTGAAGCATTCTGAAAGTCACCAATTTCTCCTCTTTAGGAGTGAAGAGCGTCACTAAGATCTATAATTACTACAAAAAGTTTGGCTACAAAACCATTGTGATGGGTGCTTCATTTCGAAATACAGGAGAAATCAAAGCACTCACAGGCTGTGACTATCTCACTATTTCACCCAAGCTTTTGGCAGAGCTCAGCAAAGAGCATGTGAAGCTAACTCCCACACTCAGTGTTAAGGAGGGTAAGTCCAGTTCTCTGTAATACAGACTTGCTCAAACTCCCCTTCCCTTTCTTCTTGAACATTAAGAGTATGTGGTTCCATCCAGCTCTGTGGTGCTTCCATTCTGCTTTAAGGCTAAACCTTGACCCTTCTCTGAAGGAAATGATCATGTTACAGTTGTACCACTACAGCTGCTTATACAGGGTTATTTCCTTAGGGTTTCAGTTCCCACTGAGTACACTAATTGGAACTGGGTTTTGAGCATGTTTAAATACTTTTTCCTGTCTTCAGGGGAAGAGACAAGGAGAAGGAACTTTATGGTTCATATACTCAGGATGAAATTTTACTGATTGTTAGCAGAGATCCAAGCAGAGTTCAATCATTGTGCTAACACTGCTGTTAGCTCTGGGCACGCCAAAAAGATGTTTTCCCTCCAGAAATACTAGAGATGAAGCCTCACGCAAGACTTACTTTATCATAATGACTTTGAGTGCATGTTATCATTGCATTATTCTTGTGCTTCTGTAGCCTTATTAAAATGCTGCTTCTCAGCTCAGATGCTGGGATTTGTTACAGCTGTAGTTGGTACTCACAGGGTGCTAGCTGGCTTGTAGGCGTGTATCAATTGAGCTTTTGTTAGGTACTTGCCAAAGGATCAAAGACCTATTGTTCAGCCTGTTTGCTTAGAATATCTCACTGCAGTATTCTTGGTAGTACTGCTGAAAGTAACAAACCAATTAGAAACAGATACAAGATAAGGCACACTCCTGAACACTGTATTTTGAAGGAAACTGATGATCTAGATAACAGAGCAAATCACACTGAAAATGGTGTTAGAAACTTCTCAGCTCTTCAGTTGGAGATGGCCAGAAACTTGAGACTGTTTTTAGGTAGCCCATGGTACCTGATAATAGTTTTGTTTATTTTTCAATTGCCCTGGTGCAGCTCAGGCCTGTGACCTGGAGAAGATCCACCTCGATGAGAAGGCATTCCGCTGGCACCACAATGAAGACCAAATGGCTGTGGAGAAACTATCTGATGGGATCAGAAAATTTGCTGCAGATGCAATAAAATTAGAGAGGATGTTAAAGGTAGATGCTATGCAGTGCTGCCTCTTTCCACCTTGCATGTTCCTTTAAATACTGCAGCTAACCCTCAATTGCTTTTGATACAGCAAAGGATTAGAAACCTGTCAGCAAGTTGGATCAGGTTTTGTACAGGTGGTGCATGTTATGTAGGGCAGGCAGCCTGCAAACTGGCCACCTGAATGGAATGAACTTGATAAACTCCAGTGCGTTTCATGAAGGAATTCATGCCCCGTATAGACAGACATCTGGTTTTTGAGGCCCAAGGCAGTGTTTAGACTCACAGCTAATCAAGATAGCACTCTTATCTTAAATGAAAAGCCTCAAAGTGAGAAGTCTAGAAATTCTAGACTTGTTAGCTGGCAGCAGTGATTTTAGACACACCAATAATAGTCTTCAAAAAGCTGGAAATAAGGCACACTTGTATTCCTTGTAGGAGGCCAAGCCCTGGAAAAGTTTTCTACCAGTATAGAGCAAGTCTTCTAGAAGGAATTAAGTGAATTTTATGTTTTTTTGGGGGGAAAAAAATATACTAATCATAAGTTCAAGGCAGTTGTAGACTGACAGCAACTCAGCAGTGATGCAACTTGCATTACTGAAGCGAAATTCAGTTCCCAAACTGGCACTGATTTGTTTACTTCTCTCTTTTTAGGAGCGGATGTTCAGCGCTGAGAATGGGAAGTAAGAGAGTCCGAGTTCTCCTGACTCTTAAGGCTGAATGAGTGGATCACCTGAAATTAAATGGATGTACAAATGTCTTACCTGTAAAAGTCTTATGTTGTGTATGCATAGATTTCTGTATTATGCTTTTTTAAAAAAAACAATTTGTAAAGGGACAAAACTTCATTGTTTTTGTGGCACTTTGTTAATACATGCAAATTAACACCTACTTTCCTTGTAATGTATTTACTTCCTTGCTAAAAGGAATTAAGTGATTCAGCTGACAACAGTTCAGTTTCTACTAGAACATAATATTGTAGTAAATTCCTAATTGTCTACGCTCCTCACATGTTAAGAAATCAGTTGTCTCTCATGCTGTTTTACTGTGACTTGAAAAAAACAAAGCAGTTTTCAGGAACCAGCTGTGGTACAGAAACCACAAGTACTGGGCTCTAGTCCTTTCTTGCCCTTTTTTTTTTGCAGCCATGGTAGTGGCAGCAACAGCACACTGAGTGGTAGAATTCATTGCTGTGTTGAAGCTGAACATGGTCCTGTTGTTACAACACCAGCATGAGTTACACTACTTCAAAATTAGGTAACTAAGTCAAGCAGTTACTTGTTAACTTCATAACTGTTTAATCTGAGCTGACAGAATGAACATCTGGATACAACTCAGGATTGTTGGTTATAGCTTTGTGTATTGTCTTTAGGGCAAGTTACTGCATCTCTTTCTACTAGCCTTGGAATGCTGCCAACCCTACCACAAAATTTACTTAAAACAAACAAGAAAAGCCCTCTGTTATCACTCCTCCCTTCCTCTTTGTCCATAAGCTCTTTCACAAAAAAGAAAAGCTGTGTGATAGTCTTCTCTGAGGAATGATGACCTAAACCTAAATGAATCACTTTCCAGTTACAGGGCTCTCAATTAAGTAGGGATGCATCTGATTACATTTCATGGTGTACTTTGTTAAGACTAATTAAATACCTTCTTGGCTTATGTGGGTCCTGTTCCATCAAGAGCACATGAGATGTTCCTGTTTGTATGCAGACAGTATTTAACTATTTCCTCTTCAATGAGCCTGAACTTCTAGACTTAACAGCATTAAGACTACAGTGTTTATATACAAGCTATGTCCTGTTTGAATAACACAAGAAAAACATGCCAAGAGAGTGACTGATCAGTAAGCTCAGTTGGACCCACTGGTAGTACTGTCAGAACAGCAAACAGAGCTGTTGTTTCAGCCAAAGTGACAGATGCTGTACGCTCACAAGCCAGATGCAGATCTGATAAGAGAGCTGAAGTAGTCACATCTGCACAGTACTGGGAGGCTCAAATAAAATTGCTCCTTTACTAATAGAACAGATTATAGGGTAATATGGGAACTCTCAACCTAAGAGAAATATTTCTGCACATGAACAAGCCTGCCTAATATAGTAAATATCAGATGCAACAACACAGGTGAAGAGCTGGAGTATCCCCATAATCTGGGGCTGTGGAAGTGCACAGACAAAGTGCTGTATAGAGAAGCCTGTGCAGTTGCCACTGGACGTTCACTGGCAGGTGATAACCTCTGTACAGGCTATTAGCTCACCTAGATGGCAGGATGAGGTTCAGCTGCTGCTCCTGGGGAGTGCTCTCCCTGTGTGCCTCTCGTTCCAGGGATCATCTTTTAGCCTAGAGTTCTCCTGAGAAAACACAACACAGGGATGAACTCACAAGGGAAGAGAATACAAGCAAAGTCTTAGGAGAGGGTACACATTAGTCTCCTTTCCCAAGGAGCACATCACTGGAGATGACAGTACACCTGTTATGGGTTTAGCTTAACACGACAAATGCCCACAAACAAACAGGCACCTCTAAGGCAATTCAGTGGATGCATCATCCAGCTGGGAAGCTGTGAACAACAGTTCCTGATGGGTTTGTATTTCAAGGTAGTTTGTCTCCTAAATGAAACAGCATCCTAGGAGTGAGAAAATAACTCATGCAACACTTAAAAATATCATGTAATCAAACAATAAAACTAGTAGTTGCAAGCTAGAAAACAGAGATGGACAAAGCATTTTCAGAGCTGTGCCAATTTCTGTAGATCTTTCTGCTTTAGCTTATTTTGAAACTTCCTGTGCTGCAACACATTGAGGCCCATTTAGGAAACTAGAAACTAGAAATGATCAGCATTCCAGGCAGCGAAGTTCACTAGGTGAGCATCTGGTCCAGCACAAGATGAACAGCTCGACTGGTCCAGTAAAACCCTGGAGCAGCTAGCAAATCCTAATGGTCAGGCTCAGAAAGCTAAAAGGTGCTCCAGGCCCCTGACAGACACAGCCATGGTTCCACAGGGATGGACTGTCGTCAAGAAATACACATGAATGTACAACACACTACTCAGATTTGTCATCTTGGCTTTCACAACAGGTTCCAGCTGTTCGAGGTTTGCATGCTGCTGCAAGAAGCCAGGAGACAGCTCAGAGGAGAGGGGATGTTTATGCAGGGAGAGAGCTGGGAAAGCAAAGAGCAGTGGCTCATCACAGGACCCTACAAATTGCTCACCAGCACTGACATTTGGTCTCTGAACAGCAAAAGCCTCCTTGTGGACATGTAGGCTGTACCTCACATCTCCAAACTATGTGATTGAAAACAGTATGGGCAGAATCAGGAGAAGAAAGGAGAGGCTAACCTCTTCCCAAGCACTTCCACAACCTTCTAGTTGAAGTAAGGCAAGACCTTCTGCACTGTTGCCCAAGATTTGATTTAAGGCAAGAAAGAGGCTGCTTTTCCTCTGTTGCTTCTGAAATTACCCTGAAGCAACTTAAAGCAGAAAACAGCATCTTGATCACTGTTCTCCTCTGCTGGTCTCAGTGGGAATTAACCTTTACATAAGGCATAGTTTACAGCTGTTCTCAGTGACAGCAACCCAATAAATACCAATATTGTGCTGCTCTCCTAAAGGTAACTCTAGAAAGTAGTCTGTCATTATTTAAAGCAGTCAGATAATAAGGCAATATCACCAGCAGACTTCTGATAATTGACTACAGAAAGTACCTCACCAAGGCACACAGAAACATATATTCCCGTTCATAGGCTTGAAATCAAATTGAACATTAATTACTAGTATACAGCCCCAGGCACTTCCTGACAGCTGAGAGGGAGGATGGCTCAAGCTGCTACCATGAATACCTGTAAACCCAGAGCATCATCTCCATGCAAAGAAGCAGATTTAGGGCTGTGATAAGCTGAGACGAGGCACTACATTGCATTGAACAGCTCAGCTTTAAGCTGCTGAGGCCTCAGCTCCCACAGAGGACTGCTGTTCTCCACCAGGACTACACCTCAAGTTACAGGTAGGCGAGAAATAGAATTTACTGCTTTTTAAAGATTGATTGTGGCAGCTGGAAGGGTTTTACTTTTACAACAGTTGCAGGATATCTACTCCCAGGCTATAGCAACACTGCCCCATTCTTCCTCCCAGGTCAGGCTGTGACCGCATTCAGCATCCTTTGAAGCAGCTCCAAACAAGACTATTTCCCAGCTTCAAATTACCCTCAATGCAATTTGAGGTTGCAAATCACCAATTATCTCCTTCCCTACTTCCCATTTGCTAGAAGGAAGCATTTCTTTCTCCTTCTTTAATAAACCTGAAGTTCCTTCAGAAACACAATAAGCCAATAAGTATTTACAGATCTCTTGAAAATACCCATAAAGGATTCTTCAGCAGTACAAGCCGTACTTGATCTCTGCTGAAACACCAGACAATTGCCTCATCCTCTCAGCAGCAACAAGAGCACCAGATCAGGACTGGAAAAAAAAAATCACAATAAGATCAAGCAGCTAAATTTGGCTAGATTCCATTTCCAAACCACAAATATAGTCTTAAAAGCAGTAGAAATGAATCATAAAGATCATGGAGTAGTATGGGATGGAAGGAAGATTGAAGATATTTGGGATTGAAGAGGAACATGGCTGCAAGAAATAACTCTTTTTGCTCCTGGATGAGGCGAGTGCCCTACACCCTCATGCCACCAGCAGAGCTACAGGATCTGTAAGCTCACATATCAGGGAAGCAGCTGGCCAGTCAGTAGCAAGGTTCAAAGGTAACTCTGAGGCATTCAGAAAGTTTCTCAAAAGACAGTGCTCCTGCAGCTACAGAGGAAGGAGAGATAGGACAGAGGTGCTCCAGTAACAGCCAAGCCTAACTCCACTTAACTACAGACATAGTCAAGAGCAGAGGGAGCAGGATCCTTACCTGCACTGGTAGCAGCTAGAGTTTCTCATTTCAGTACTGGGGCTTTTTGTCTTCAGCACAGGCTGGGTGTTTTGCAGTGACTAATGTACATAGCTGAGCCTCAAAGTCCACATCCATTCTGAAACAGAGCAAGACCCCAGCAACTACATAAACCTTCAGCCTATGCGTCTGTTTATCCACACAGAGTTTCCTTACAGAACTATTTTTTCAGCTTCATTCATCTCTCCTACAGTCATGTCTGAAGCCAATTCATAAACTCCTTCTAGCAACTGCCCTATGCTTCCTCAGTTAAGAGACTGAGTATAAGAGATACCTACTGTTTCTCAGAAAGGCTTCTAGCTATCACAATCATAGAGAAAAGCTTAGAAATCCTGAAACATAACCACCAACATTCAGCCAGAAGGGAGAAATAAAACAGAGGAGAAGAAATCCAAAGAACAAGTACGCAAACTTTAAGGCTTGAGTTAAAAATCATTAAACTCACCTAGAACCAGTGCTTCCCAGGCACCTTTGGCAAGCCTTCCTGCAAGTCTTTCCGAAGCCTTAGTGCAGGGATAGCTCCCTTTATCACTTTAGCCCAGTGACCAGGATGTTGCCACAAGATGGGCTTCACCTGAGCAACCCCAGCCCCAGAAGTACCAGCACAGACAGCTACAATCAACCTTCTTTTTGCTGGGGGCAAATATCTGCAGTACACCTCCAGGTGCTTTTGGTTGAAGTGCCAGAGGTAAGGTTTAGTCTCTCCTAAGACAGTCAGGGAGAGACACCTTACACTCCAAAGCAGGAATTTCTCTGGGTTGAGGGGAGTGGGGACTGGCCCAGTAACCATACTCATATTGCAGAGGCTGCCTTGGGACAAATCCACATCTGCATTTATGGACACCTCCTGCAACTGCAGAGAGAATGCAATTGTGCCCAAGATTTTGCTGGCATACCAGGCTGGAAAAGATTGCTCTCTCTATGCTTCAGTTCCAAACTCCAAGTAGAAACAGTGCTGCATCTCCCTACACACGTGGGTCTGATCCATTCTATGGGATCCTGTAAGCTTCTGTGCATAGAGATCCTGAGTCAGTACTGCTGCAAGAGAAAAGCATGTTAAAGTAATAGAGCCTCTAACAACAGATTCCACTCAGGGCTAAGTAAGGATCTAAATTAACATTTTAAGCTTTTATTTTCACTGTAGTTCTCAAGCAGGGAATTAAGTGGTAGAAACCTAATTAAAAAAAAAAAAAAAAAAAAAGCAATTCCTTTAGAAAAAAAAAGCACTTTTTGTTTAACAGACTGTCCAGGCAGCTTAGCTTGGGAGCACAGAATATAAGTGGGCAAGTGAATAATTTCTGCTTTGTTCACACAACTGAAAAAATAACCACGCTGAAACGATGACAAGTAAATTTGAGACTTACAATAAGCAGCCTAAGTGGAATTAAAAAGCAAAAAAAACCTTTTATTTGGGGTCAAATGAAACATTTTGTCTGACAGCTTTTTGAATTTATATATTACGTACAGGGAAAAAATAATTAATTTCAGTGATTTTGTATCTTCATGACTAAAATGTAACCTACCACGTTGAGCACAAAGTTATTAAAAATGTTGAGCATGAAATTGGAAATTGTAGCAAATTAATGTAAAAAAAAAAAAATGATAATCCCATGTTCTGCTCTGGACTCCATAGGTCACTTTTTATTATCCATTCATTAAGGAAATAGCAAGGTTACAGCTGCTGATACACAAACACAGTCTCTTCAAGAGCTGTGGGCACTCAACATTTCAGTCTAATCTTTTTATATGGACTTAGCTAATTTTATACTAGAAAATAGAGACTTAACAGCACAAGTCCCTCTGCTAACATCAACATGCAGAGGTTTCCCCTCCGCCAGGAAACAAAACTCATTTTGAAATTGACAGTAGATGCTGCCCTCCCAGATAACTGTCACTACTACAGACAACAGCTCAGGTTTCAAAATAGTCTAATGGATAAACATCTCCAGCACTCCTCAAGAAAAACGAAGCCAAGTTTGACTGTAAATCCATCTAGTACAGCATCCTGTCTCCCCTAGTGGCCAGCAGCTGTTGAGGAAGATTTCAGACCTAAGAAAACACTTTTTGCACTCTGCTTCCCAGTGGAAAAGCCACAGGAGGACTGCTCTTTGGGCTGAGAAATGCAGATCTTCTGATCCCCAATCTCAAACAACAGGGAAAGGATCAGCCTCCTACCATATGAAGAGTTTTCTTACAGTGGCATCTGCCAACACAAAGAGTTTTTCCTCAAATATCTACAAATCTAATAGACTATAAATGCTATTATACACGCATTGGCCATGCTGCTAACCTTTAATCAGGTTGACGATTGCTGCTTACTCTCATTTCCCATTTATCCTGGGAAGTTCATAGAATCACAGCAGCCTCTTGACAAAATTTTGCCTAAGAAAACACAGCACCCTAGCAGTACAAGTCCCATTCTCTTATTCCCAAAGATACGTGGGATTTTCACTGCTAGTGCTTAACCTAGGAGATCAAGAAACCAACCCCACAGGCTCCTCAAACTCACTTCAGGTGGCAGCACACCTACCTAACTGTCATCAGTTGCTCAAAATTAGACACCAACAACTTGAAAGAATTAGCTACAATTCAGCACTGGTCCTCAGCTTTACATAAAGCAAAACTAAGATGGAGACCTTTTGGGAGAAAAGGGGTTTAGCAACAGCCTATTCCAATTGGGGATAATCTCTACCAAGGAAAGCATGCAGGGTAGCATTAGCACTGAAGCAGCAGATGATGACAAAACACAGAAGTCTTTCATGAAAGTTTCAAACGATGCTACCCTTGTCCCACTAAGAAAGGAAGAAGCAGGGGACAGCACATCCTATGGAAGTCCCAAGGTACATCTTGTTGCATACAGCCCAATATATAGTCCAGCATTGACATGTATTTTGTGCTATTGAAGCTCTGGGTGATGTCACAGGTTTCTGCCTCTCTTAGCTGTATGCCAGCTGCCCAGCACAGGTGCACCAACATGACAAGCCCATCGTTGGGAACTGACAAGAGGAAAGTAATGTTTTTGCACTTGCTGTTGGGGTATGGAGTTTGCTGGTGGCTGAGGAGGAACGAGGACGTCTGTGTGGAGCAGTATCACCACCTCGTGGCTGCAACAGCACAGACAGCTCTTTTCCATAGAAATTCATACTGCTGCAACTAACCAATGAGCAGAAGTGCAAAGATCAACCTTCCAGTGTGTTTGCAGGTGCTTCTACACATTATGCAAGCACACAAAGCTCGGTGGGTGGGAGAGCTTTTCATCTTTGAACATCCTCTTGCATCGCACAACCCAAGCTGCTGCCCCCAACAATTGCTCTCAGTATCTCTTGTATTCTTCAAATGAGGGTGTAAGAGAGGTACAGGAGAGTATAGCCTTTACAAAAAGAGTCCACAGATTTGACACTGTAAGTTAGTTACTGTATTTTCAGCCATCTAAGACAGAATTTTGTTTGCTTAGCCATTGAGATAGAATAAAATATCCTCAATTTCTGATTTCCAGCCCCTGCTGTGGCTGTGAGACTATGAGGGAGCTTGAAAATGTTCTGAAAGCTTTCTGAAGAGAGGATGTTCCCTCATCCAAAAAACTTAAGCTGCCAGACACCTTCTCTGGCTCCAGAGAATCTAAACTGCCTGCAGCTACATTATTAAGCTGTGAGAGAGGTATAGTAGCACAGAGGACTCGTGACCAAAACCCAGTGTGTTGCTGATTTGCCCATTCACCATATTATTCAATCTTCTGCCCTGAAAACATTGAATTTACCTGAAAGATCTAGTCATTATTGTCACATCCCAAATCTAAATTCAATTATGATGCAAAAGGCATCAACATTTCCATCACCTCCAAGAAGCTGTTGCTTCAGCATGCAAATATGTTATTTAAAGCATCCCTCCTCACCTTGTGTAAAACTGCTGGCAGCAGCTCTTATTACCTGCTCTCTGCCTTTCCTTTCTTCTCTGCAGGGATCAACTACACAGCTCTGGTGGTGAGTGTGGTACTAAGATACAGTGATATGTGGTGGTGAAATCTTGAGTGATTTCCTGAAAAATACAGGAATGCTTCTCTGCAGCTGTGAAACAACTGCTGCAAAGAACATCCTAGGGACAAATCATCTCAGAAAGCTTCCTTCTCCCTTTGGATTCACCTCACAAGTGTTTCTGATCTGCATATTGCAGAAGCACTCTAATGCTTCCAGCAGATGTCAGTTTGCCCATCAGAATATCAGGGTAAAATAGAATAAGCTCCCATGTGTTAAGCCTGCTTATAAAAAGCAAACCTGCAACTTCTACTCAAATTGAAATGGAAAGAAAATGTCAATTCGAACATCATAGCTCAGCACATATATTAAAGGCCCTTTTCTTATCTCCTGTCAAGTCCTTCAGCCTTTTTTGTTTGCTTGCATCTCATTCCAACAACAGGGACTCACCATGCACTGCTCCTCCTTTTCCCTAAAGCAGACATCTCATTCTTCCTCTTGACAAGAGAACTGCAGGCTTTCTAACCTATATTCAAGTAACTCCAGCTAGTGTGTGCTTCAGCTCTGAAGGGAAAACAAATGCTCTGCAGCAGACATGCTAAACAAGTATGTCAAAACATCTGATATTGCCTCTAGCTGATTCTGACCAGGCCAAATCAGCTATTCGTGGTTTCTGACTCGCATCACCAAGTGAATCACAATCTTTACATTCTAATTAACTTTAAGCTAAAGATTAGCATCCCTGGGGTGTACATGCTAACTCTATCACAGGTAAGACACTGATAAAGGTCAAGAGTCACAAGGATATAGACAGGAACATTTCTCTTATATGCAAATGAACCTTCTCAAAAAAACAAATATCTGCTGTGCACTCCTGGGTAGGAAAAATACTTAAAACTTCACTACTGACCAGTGTTATCATACCATGTTCTTACAACTTGGGAGATGAGAATATGTCATTTTAAGGCACGGAGCAATTCTAGTAATCTGCTGGCAAAAGGAAAACCTCAGGAAAAAAAATCACCTCCTGGCTGCCTGGGTTGTATTTTACAAGCCTGCTTTTCACTTTGACCACAAGCAAAGCATGGTCACCTGAATGAATGAAAATACACATAGTAACATCTGCTTCTATGAAGCAAAAAGGAAGCATTACAAAAAATTTAAAGGCAATGTACTTTGTATATCAGTGTACTTCCTGATAGAGATACAAACAAAGCAACTTCAGCAGACTACCAGGAAAAAATAAGGAAAAGTGTACAATAAAGAACTGATTAAAGCCCGGAGAGGTCTGAATATTCTTTGTTCACCTGGTAGTTCCTTGATGAGACTGTACAGAACTTCACAGCAACTGAATGAAAAGGGGATACTGAAAAGGGGATACAGGCTAAACACTTTATTTTGATGCACAGACAGGAAACGGAAGGTCTAATTATTTAGACAAAGTTGCATGGAAGCAAAGTTTGAAAAATATGACAGGCTTGTAGCTTCTCAGGTTCTTTCAGAAAGAAGATTTTGCTCTGCAGTTGCAGTCTGGCGTTAGATCCAGAACTGTTTCATAATAGGAGCCACCCATCTCCTCCAGGAGGTGAAATACCCAAGTACAGCCCAAGTTCCCTACACAGAAACTCAGAAAGTCAATGGAGCCTGGGATGGGAAGATCATTTTTTGTATTCAAAGCTTTTAAGGACAGAGCATCCTTGCTGTAGCCACACAACATCCAAGACAAAATGACCCTAACTACAAATACTACTGCAGCACAAGTACAAAAAGCCTTCTGTATCATTTCAGCAGATAGTCTGCTAGAAATCCAGATGGAAAGTATGTTCTGATGGTGACAGAGGCTAACAAATCTGTAAGCAAGCTTGTCAGAAATGAGGATTTAAACCAAAGCTAAAAGTGTTAAAATAAATAAAACAGTTCCATCTGATACACAGAAAGAAAAAGTCAGATTTCATCATACAATTCTTCACAAGACTGATCCATGCTTTCTGCTACGTTTTTTCTTTTGTCCATAAGATTTCAGCAAGACGATTGCAACATACTTGCCAGAGAGAAACAATAATGGTAACATACACACCATAAAGCAGAACAGCTAACCAATTAGAGGGCAATTTAAAAATAATTTTAAACTGAATACCATTAATGTGAACATGCAAGAGGAAAGCAAGGGCACATCATGCCAGCAGCAGCACCACAGTGAAACACCTTCAGACAACTGATTCGGCTTTATTGTACACAGCTCAGCATTTTCCATCCTGTTCCAATTGTATGTAAGTGTCACAGATACATTCTGAATTCAGACAGTACGTTTGTGATCTACCAAAAGAAAGGTAAGAACACCTCTGAAAGGACACATCGGTGTGGAGAGTCTTATATTTGAACTAGAAATGACTGATATAACGTCAGCCACAAACACTGTCTTTATCCTCAGTAAACAACATTCATAGCCACTGTTTTTTTGTTGTTCTTTGTTTTAAACAGGACAGTTCCTCACCACTGTAAGTCAAGGGTCTGGAGAGAAGCAGTGAAGATGTAGTAACAAACACAAGGTGGTTTCATAATTGCTTCTGAAGCAGGATGCACTTCCAAATTCTCTTACTCACAACCTTCCTCCAGTCTGTATACGGAGAACCTAATACTGCCACTTCAACATCACAGTCACTTCACAGTCCAGGATAGAAATTTAAACACATTTTATCCAGTTAAAGGACAAGTGAGTCCTTAGTCTGCTGGCTCTTCATCCATCCTATTTGCAAAGAGACCTTCTCCTTTATTTCCTGCTGAATGAAACACATCCAAACATGACATCACCTGTTAGTCCACATCCAGGAAAGGACTTCTAACACACATTCACCTGAACAAAAGAAGATTTTTGTGGTTATTTAAATGCAATCTTCTATCAGACAAGATGAAAGAGACAGTCAAATAGCCAAGCTATTAGCAAAGAAATCTGTTAATTCCCAGAATCCTAATATATAGCTAAATGCTAACTTGGGAAAAAACAAATAAAAACCATACAAGAGAAATTTTGCTTAACAGAACTATTTAGAAAAGCCTATTGCTTCACTCCACCAGTCTTGATGAGTAAGCCTGCACTTTCCAACCCACTTTACACAAATGCCTTTTTAACAAAAGACTTATCAGACTGAACAGATAGATCCAAGCACAGACCACATGCACTTCAGCAGCTAAACAAGGAAGAACACGTCTGGGGGACAAGACTCCTGGAGCTAAAGATTCTTTGACATTATCTGTTCCTAGTCCTCATCTCCCATATTGCTCACCTGACATTGCAAAGAATAAGAAGATTCTGGACTGCTGGAAGGGTGGAATTTTCATTCTGTCCTGTCACCAAGTGCCTGTCCAGCACAACATGTACACAATCTGGTTGGCTGGCTGCATACAGGAGGGAAAAAAACAACAGGTGCGTTAGGGGACACTGCTTCAGTTTCAGTGTTTCACCTCAAAACTAATGCAGAAGGTAACTATTAAGCCCAGGGAGATTTGCTCACTGAATCCATAGCCCCAACAGAAGGGACGATCGTAAGCACCCACTCCTGCAACAACTTCACTAGAGAGCCCTTCTCTAAAAGGACAACCCTTGAAAGGTAAACTTCTACATTTAGCTAATAATAAACAATGAAATGACTAATACTGAAAAAATGAGATTGATCACCACATTTTATTCAGAGCTAGAGGATAACTGATGAGAGCAACCAAAAGCATTTAGTATACTGTCTCCAGATTTCAACAAGACAGCACATTCTGCTTGAAATAAGCCCCAAATCCTTGTGCACTTAACCTCTCCCAGTAGAGCACATGCTCCCTGCCACGCAGCAAAGAAACAGCTGCAGAATGCTGCCTACACACAGACATTTCCCTGCAGGCATGGACTGCAAATCTGCAGAGCAGTAGAAACTCTCCTGTGTCAAACTGGCATGCAAATGTTTATTTTCAACACAGCCACAAAACAAAGTGCTGGTCAACAAGAGTGACGTACCGCTAAACGTAGCTCCAGAGTCTTTCACAAAGTCTTCCACAATAATGGGCAAACTGGCAAAATTAGGCTGCCTTATTAGTTCATACACAGAGGGCTGAAAAAGAAAAAAATAATGGTCTTGCTTTTGTAGAAAAAAAAGATGGGCAGAACTCTTTAATTTATATTTCCCTCTACCATGAAAATGAAACAAAGCATAAAACTAGGTGACCACAGACAGCTTCTATGGACTTTCCTCAGGTAGCAAACTGAAAATCATGCAACAGAGAAGGAAAGAATGACACCACAGGAAGATCTGCTCCACATTTGATATTCACACACTTCTTATTTAACTAGAACAGATAAGCAGCATCTTTAACATATCATACCCACAGTTCTCCCTAATCTCAATTGTGAAGTTTTCCAAGGACTAACACAACATCATGTCTTGAATGTATACAGGAAAGAAAGCACTCTCAGTGTGCAAGATGAAGTGGAAACAATTCCCTCATGAATGGTGTTGTTCCAATAACAGCTCCTTGAATGTAAATTAAGCACACCAAGCTGATGGATTTGTGTGTAGAAAGTTCTAAGTTCTAGAATAAGATGGCATTGCCATCTTAAGCCACAGGGCCTTGGACAGGAAAAGATCCTTGTAATAGGATAACAAGAAATCCCAGGAAATGAGATGAAAGCTCAACCTACCCCTGTCAGGCTGTATCCCTGAAATACCCAGGCTTTATCCTCATTGGTGGCACAACACAAAGCTGCAACACCGTGTCCAACTGCACAGATAGGCTCTAGAGAAAGATCAAAGTACATTTAAGAAATTGTAAGCATCTTCAAACTGTCAAAAATATCAATCTGCTGAGGCTTTAATGACTAGTCTGGTATATCCCATATTTGGCTTTGAATCTTGAATCCTATCAACCAAGAAAGAAGCATTTCTGAACCTGAGAACCTTCTCACAAAAAATATTATTATTTGCAGAGAATTATTATTTATTTGCACAAAGAAGATACTATTTAAGTGAAGATACATTTTTCCAGCCCCCCTACCGCTCCCAAAAACCACCTCTTTACAATTCTGAACACTGCAACACCACCCCAGAACTACAATGTAAACATTCTTCAAGTAACAGTCTTACATGAATACTGAAGTAGTAGGGCTATCTCATTTAGCAAAGTATCTGGGTTTGGGTTGGAGATTCATGATCCTTGAGGTCCCTTCCAACCCTAGCAATTCTGTGATTCTGTGATCACAAAATCATTAAGGTTGGAAAAGACCTCCAAGGTCATCTAGTCCAACCATCCACCCACCCCAATGTCATCCACTAAACCATGCTCCTTAGTTCCACATCTACACATTTCTTGAACCACCTTCCTGGGCAGCCCATTCCAATGCCTGACCACTCTTTTGGAGAATTTTTTTCCAGACAGCCAACCTGAACCTACCCTGGTGCAAGCTGAGGTCATCCCCTCTCATCCTATTGATGGTTACCAGGGAGAAAAGGCAGACCCCCACCTTGCCACACAACCTTCTTTCAGGCAGTTGTAGAGGACAATAAGGTCTTCCCTGACCCTCTTCTTCTCCAGAAGAAACAATCCCAGCTCCCTCAGCAGCTCCCCATAACACTTGTGCTCCAGACCCCTCACCAGCCTTGTTGCCCTTCTCTCCAGCGCCTCAACGTCTTTCTTGTAGTGAGGGGCCCAACACTGAATACAGTACTCAAGATGCGGCCTTACCAGAGCTGAGTACAAGAGATACCATCACCTCCCTGCTCCTGTTGGTTGCACTATTTCTGACATGGGCCAGGATGCCACTGGTCTTCTTGGCCACCTGGACACACTGCTGGCTCATGTTCTGCCAAGCACAGACCTGGGGGTGTTGGTCAGTTTCTCCCACACAGTCTTCCTGCCACTCTGCTCCATGCCTATAGCGTTGCCTGAAACTGTTGTGACCAAAGTGCAGGACCTGGCACTTTGTTGAACTTCATCCCACCATCTTCAGCCCAGCAATCCAGCCTGTCCAGATTCCTTCAAAGAGTCTTCCTACACTCAAGATTAACTTTTCCTCCCAATTTCATGTCATCTATGAACTTACTGACAGTGCACCTCAATTCCCTCATCCAGATCATCAATAAACATTAAACAGGATGGGTCCCTGTACTGACTCCTAGGCAACACCACTCATGACCAGTTGCCATTAGGACTTCATTCCATAACTTCTGCTCTCTGGGCCTGGCCATCCAGCCAGTTCTTTACCCAGCAGAGTCTACCTGTCCAAGCCATGGGCTGCCAGCTTTTCCAGGAGAACACTGTGGGAGACAGAGTCAAAGGCTTTGTCAAATTCTAGGTAGACCACATCAACAAGGCAGGTCACCCACTCATAGGAGATCAGATTGGTCAAGCAGGACCTGCCTTTCATATACTCATGCTGACTGGGCCTGATCCCTTAGCTGTCCCACACATGTGGGATCTCATTCAAGATGATCTGCTCCATAACCTCTCCTGGCACCGAGGTCAGGCAGACAGGCTTGTAGTTTCCTAGATCCTCCATACGATCCTTCCTGTAGATGGGAGTCATGTTGGCAAGCATTCAAACCTTCAAGACCTCTCCAGGAACGCTGACAGATGGTGGAAAGCAGCTTAGCAATCAACTCCACCAGCTCCCTCAGGTGGATCCCATCTCAACCCTTAGACTTGCAGCAGTCCAGGTGGGACAGTAGGTCTTTAAACCCCCCATGATTCAGGTGGAAACAATTATTATTCTGCTGCCCATCCCAGACTTCCCAGTCAGGGGGTAGAGTACCCTGAGAATAACTGGTCTGACTTTTTAAGACAGATGTAAAGAAAGCACTGAGAACCTCAGCATTTTCCTTATCTTCAGCAGTCACATTCTCTGCTGCATCTAGCAGAGGATGGAGATAAAGGATGGAGATTCTTGTTAACCCTCCCCTTATTGTTAATATATTCATTAAAAAGTTTTTTGTTGCCTTTTATTACAGTGACCTTGTTGAGTTCAAGCTGGGCTTCTGACTTTCTTATTTTCTCCCTGCATATCCTAGCAACTTCTTTGTACTCTCCCCAGGTTGCCCATCCCTTCTTCCACAGGCAGTCAGACTTTTGCTCCTGGAGCTTCAGCACAAGGTCCCTTTTCATCCATGCCAGTCTTCTTCCTCACCAGCTCATCTTGTGGCACAGGGGAACAGCCTGCTCCTGTGCCTTTAACACTTCCTTTGTTAAGAATGACCAACCTTTCTGGACCCCTTTTACCTTTCAGAAAAGAATCCCAAGAGACCCTCCCCTACCAGTGTCCTGAACAATTCAAGGTCCGCCCTTCCAGAAGTCCAAGGCAGCAGTTTTGCTGAGTTCCCCTCCTAACTTCACCAAGAAAATCTAACATGGTTGCACTGCTCAAGACAGCTCCTGACATCCACATCTCCCACCAGTCCTTCTCTGTTTGTGAAGATCACATCTAGTGAGGCACCTCCCCTAGTACGCTCTCTTATCAATTGCAACATGATATTATCTTCCACGCACTCTAGAAGCCTCCTAGACTGCTTCTTCTGTGCTGTATTACATTTCCAGTACGTACCAGGGAATTAGGACTTCCCTATGAGATGATGTTCACTTACTGTTCTCTGCACAGAAGTGCTGCAATATTTTTGCCAGGTACCCACTGTTTGCAAGGTCAGTCATAGCCCCTGGGCAGTTTGGAATCAGCAGTGCATGGTATCTAGCACCTAGTAAAGAGGAACAAAAACTAACATAACTAAAAAACCACCTGACCATAAATTCATTTCAGATTCAACAAACTTCAGACAACAGTATAAGTTGTTCAAAAATTTCATAGACTGAAAGAACTAAGGAAATTAAATGATCTATGTGGAATAGAAGAGGAGGTAGAAGTTTTTTGTCCTAGGACACATTTTTGATGAAACATTTCTTATGTAGACAAAGTTTAAAAGCTCTGTGTGCTAGCTTCTACTTCAGATATTAATTTTTTTAATAAGCATTTTCCTAAAATACAACATAATAGTAAGAAGGAAGATAAATGTAGTTGCTATGGCTTCCTCTTAAAACAAAAGCTTTCATGCCTTTTCTGTACCCTTCTTCTTTAGAACATAAAGAAGAATCTGTTTCTTTGATAAATGGAAGTGACACGTAAGCCAACAGCAAAGACCTTACCATCAATTGACTCCAGCTTGGCAGGGTTTGCATATGACTTCATACGGAAGTCCTGTATCCAGCGCATGTTGCTCTCATTCACATCCACAAAATCAATCGACTTCCCCTAGTGGAAAAAAGGTTTGCAAGCTGCAGTTAGCATCAGCATACAGATTTCTACTACATTTCCTGAAGGACAGGCATGGGAGATTTTGAGATGCTTCAGGAATAGGTACCTCCAGCTTCTTCTGGCAGCCTGTGCCAGTGCCTCACCACACTCTGAGCAAAGAATTTCTTCTCCACATCTAACTTTTTACTTTACAAAATCTCCCCTTTTACTTTAAAGTCTTCCCCCTTGTCCTATTACTACCTACCCATGTAAAAAGTCAGTCTCCCTCTTGTTTGTGAATTCCCTTTAACTACAGAAAGACTGCAATGAGGTCCCCCTAGGGCCTTCCCTTCTCCAGACTTAACAAGCTCAGCTCTCCCTCAAACTTTCCTCATTGGAGAGGTGCTCCAGCCCTCTGAACATGCTCATAGCCTCTTCTGGATGTGCTACAACTCCACATCTTTGTTGTGCTGGGGGCCCCAGGTCTGCACACAGTAATCCAGATGGGGCCTAACAAGGGCAAAGCAAAGGGGGACAACCAACTCTTGCCCTGCTGGTCGCCCCTCTGTCAATGCAGCCCAGGATACAAGCCTGTCCCTATGGATGGCACTGCTTCCTTTCATTGTATCAGTTGCACCACACAGCTTGGTGCCATCAGCAAAGTGCTGAAAGTACACTCCATACCACTGTCTATGTCACTGATAAGGATGTTGACAAGACCCCCGGGGACATCACTCAGTACCAAAGAAAAAAAAAGAAAGACAAAGGGACCCAGAAGGATCAAATCCAACTCCTGGCTCTACACAAGATCACCCAAAATCCAAACCCTATGTCTGAGAACATTGTCCAAACACTTCTTGAACTCCATGACCATTGCCCTGGGGAGTTTGTTCCAGTCAGTGCCCTGTCACCCTCTGGTGAAGATCCTTTCCCTAACCCCCAGCCTGACCCTCCCCCGATGCAGCTCCATGCTGTTCCCTTCCCTGCTGTCCTGTCACTGTCAGCAGAGAGAACAGATCAGTACCTGTCCCTCTACTCCCATCACAAAGAAGCTGTACAGCTGCCAAGAGGGTGATCAAATGTGTTTAAGAGCTGTTTGGATGTGGTGCTTGGAGATGTGATCTAGCAGAGGGTTGTTAGAGTTAGGGTACTATGGTTAGGCTGCGGTTGGACTCGATGATCCTTGAGGTCCCTTCCAACTTGAGTAATTCTGTGATTCTGTGAAATAAACCAAGGGACCTCAGCTACTCCTCATATGTCTTGCCCTCTAGACCCTTCACCCTTTCCATAGTCCTCCTTTAGATGCTTTCTGACAGCTTTATGTCCTTACATTGTGATGCCCAAAATTTCACACAGGGCTCCAGGTCAGACCACACTAGCAAAGAGCAGAGCAGGATAATCCCTTCCCTTGCCTGGCTGGCAGTGCTGGGCCTGATGCATCACCCCAGGGTATGGTTTGGCCCCTTGGGCTGCCAGGGCACACTGCTGACTCAACTTCAAGTTGCCATCAGCCAGAACCTCCAGATGCCTTTCTATGGGGCTGCTCTCCTGCCTCTTGTCCCCAGGACTCTATATATGCCCTGGATTGCTGCAGCTCAGGTGCGGAATTTGGCACTAACTCTTGTTCAATAATTTGACACACTCAGTGACTGCCCAGCCCTCACATTTGTCAAAGATCCATCTGCAAGGCCTCTCTACCCTTGAGAGAGTCAACAGCTCCTCCAATTTAGTGATACCCTTAAACTTAGCATACACTCAAACCTTGCATCTAGACAATATCTCTAGATCAAACTTTTCCTTTACAGATCAAGTCCATGATCCTATAGAGAAGGGTGTTATTTAAAAGGCTCAAAGCACATAACTGATTTTCTTAGCTCATTTCCTGATGTTTTCAAGTAAAAGCACAGGAATCATAAACATCTGCTGTTTATACCATCAGCAAAATGGATGTAGTGTCTTTTTCTGGTTGGACCTACAAAGCAGTCTTTGGGAGACTGCTGAGCATCACCTGTGCACACAGCTATTTCCTTGCAGAAGCTGTGCTACTGAAGTCAAGGAGCATCTGCAAAAAACATGGTGACAGACTGAGAAAAGATTGCTATTTGCTTTTGTTAATATTGCTTGGGAAGCTGATTTCTAGTAGAGAAAGAAGCTCATAGAAAGGCACATCAGTTGCTCAACTCATAAACCAACTTCCACCATATTCTGGCAGAAGGGATGAAGGTTCCAATAAAATAAGCAGTAATAGAGGAGATGAGAATGACAGTAAAATGACACTTCTTTCTCTGGGTGTTTCAAGGTATTTCAGAGGTGGCATTGCTGAGTAGTATAAATATGGATAAAATAGATTTGGGTTCTATCCAAGTTTGAACTCAAGGAATAGAAAGAAAAGTAAAACAGGATATGATGAGTCTATTTATTTTAAGTATTTCCAACACGTCTTGTTTTAGTCGGCCTAAACTGTAGGATTAATCTGACTGATAGACTTATTTAATAACCATGTTTGTCTCTAGCAACATGGTTAATATGTTAATCTTCATTTCTATATCTTGCTGTCTTTCAGTCCCAAACTGAGAGCAACTAACTCTTCTCTTCTGCATTTTTTTTAGTTACTTTCCTACTATCACCCATGCTTCAAGACTTCAAGAGAGATTATCCACAACTGCTTGAATACTTCAAGTGAAGAACTGGCCTGAAGCAATGAGACACGCACATTTACCCACTGGAACAGGTTGCCCAAAGAGGTTGTGGATGCCCCATCCCTGGAAGCATTCAAGGCCACATTGGATGCGGCTCTGGGCAGCCTGATCTGATGGTTGGCAAACCTGCACATAGCAGGCCATCCTATGATTCTATGTCTGCCCCTGCTCTGCAGGGAGAGATCTGAACAAGAGCCACCTGAGGAGCAGTGCAGGTGCCCACCTCATGCGGGGAGCAGCTGCTGGGTAAGAGAGGAGCTTGCTAGTAGCTGTCCAGAGACAGTGGCACCCATGGGTCCCCCGCCAGTCAATCATCCTAAGAAAGCCACTACCCACTGCTCCAACTCTGCTGCAGCAGCAGAGAGGGAGCAGTGCCAGCCTCTGGACCCCTTCCTGCCGCTCCAAGCAGCAGACAGGCTTCAGGTGCCACTCCTGCTCCTCCACCTTACACAGTACCCAGTTTTACAACTGGCCCACCTCAGCAGGACCTTCCCCAGCACTTCGTATAACAGAGCGGCAGGCTCCTTGGGCCCTGCCTCTCCTTACCTCATCCCTTGCAAGCCATACTGGCAGCATCCGTGCTGATGCAACCCGATGGGCAACCCCACACTGCCCAAATTGCACCCGCAGCTCTCACAGCACACACGCAAGCAGTAAGCTCGCACATACCAAGGGGTTTAGCCTGAAATCACAATTCCAGTTCTTACTCACCCCGGGAGTGGCGACTTGCAGGTTGAAGGCAGAGCTGCTCAGCGTGAAGCACTGCAGGAAGGACTGGGCTGACACCCCTGGAAAACAGAGCCCAACAGCTGCATTGTACCGCCAGCCGTGAATTTACCTACCTTGCGTCATTTAAAAGCTCAGGAGATCGTCAGAATGTTAATTCAAGGCCCCGCGCGGGGTAGCGGGACCACACGAACGCCATAGGGCCGCGCACCGGGGAGGGGAGGAGCCGGTCTGACAGGAAAAGGGGCCGGAGCAACGCGCACAGCCGGGCCGGGAGGGAGGCAGGAGGGCGCTGGGCGACTCGGGGCTGCCCCCAGAGCGGCTCACCCGCGGCGGCGGCGCTGGCGACGAGGAGGCAGGTGGGTTTGCCGAGCCGCTCCGACATGGCAGGGACGGGCGGCGGCGCGCGGAGCCGGCTCCTCATGCGGCCGCGCATGCGCACTCGGGGCGGACGGAGAGCCGTGCGCCGCGACCGTTGGGCGGGAAAACTGAGGGCAGCCGCCATGATGGGTTGTTGCTCTGGGCTGCCTTTAAACCCGGCGGCGTCAGCTCGTCCGCGTGCACCGTGATGTGTAGCGGCCGCCGCGCTCAGCTTCCCTTCCGCAGACTCTGTCTTTCCTCATCGGATTTTGTGTCGATATTTGGCTTTTTATACCTGTTTTATATCCCGCCTCCTTCAGATTTGTTGGGCTGAATCACTCAGTGCTTACACCGACCTCCCTATGCCAGCGATAGCACGTTGCAAACGAAAAAACAGTGTGATGTCAATGTATCGCCTAATTTTCGGCGCCCAGCCCGGTGGCTGAGCTGTTGTGTTTCCAACCTTCTCCCAAAATCCCTCTTCATCTGAACCAAAGCCTCTCAGTGGAGCCCTATGGCGTGTTTCTAACACACGAGATTAATAAACTCATCCAAACCTCCCAGAAATTGTCTTTTCCATCCTTCACGTGTCTTCTGGTTCATCTTCTTTGTGTTCAGGCTTGGATTTTAGTAACGTTCCTCAAGGACAACGTTTATTGCAGGCATTGCTGCTCTTGGTTACGTGGTGGTGTGATTTCTGTGAACCCCGGATTTGCATTTTCCATCTCTGTGTTAATTTCATTAGTCTGCGTCTTGATGGTTGTGAGTGTGTTACGAAGAAACTGTCACAAAGTGATAGGTTATAAAATGAAAAGAAGACAATTCTGCTGCTATTTCAATGTGTTTATTGGAAGGGACCTGATTTCCAGCCTGGTTTCCTATAGGAAAGGCAGCTCATACCTCATGCTGTCTGTCTGCCAACCTCTTTTTTTCTCAAAAAGTGTTCCAAACCCACAACCATGTTACACATGGGGACACCTGGACACCCTGTCTGTTCCATCTGAGCTCCCAGAAAATGATTAAAACCCAAACAAACTGCCTTATCACTGTATCCACCTTGCAAGGGACATGATGCTCCTCCAGCAGCCTCAATCCTTGTGGTACTGAGCTTTGGATTTATAGTCCTTATGCCTTACATGTGAATCCATTTTAATTTATTTTCTAAATGCAAGAACAGAAAGCAAACCACTGTCTCAAGTTCTGCTCCCTCAGCTCTTCCTATCCTCCCTAGACTGCCCAAAAATACAAAGCATGAGTGGACCTGGCAGTGATTTAAGGTGAGAACATACTGAAAGAAAAAAAAAAAAATGCATATGAGAGCCCCAGTTCTTTAGAAATTAAATTATAGGGTGACCTCAACTCTCAATCTTCCAGTGCCAGTGTCTCAGCTTTACCAAAGCACATGCAGAGAGGTTTTGTAAAAGCTCTTCTGTTCATTTCTCTTCCAGTGAGCACTCTGCTGAATGTGGGAGGTTAGCAAGCACTGCTGTAGAATCACAAGGATGATAAAAAATATTTGCTACTTTGTGCAGTTTGCTTTAGTAAAGCCTGGATGTTGCAGTTGTGTTGAGTTAGCTGAGTGCTTCCTCTTTGAATCTGGTGTGGTGCAACATAACCACAGCATTTCTCAGGAGTGCGGTGATTTTGTGTTGTGTCATTTTGGGCTGAATGATGGCTGGAACTGAAAAGAGAAGGGAAAAGCAGTTTGTAGCTTAAGATAGTTGCAAACATAGCCTTGCTTTTCATGCATTTAATTTTTTTTTAATACGGAGGGATAAAAGTAAAGGAAAGACAGGAAGGATGATATCCCCAGGATGATATCATGGCTGCACGCCCACTTTTGCAAGAAAGGTCTCTCACTGGAAGGAAGATGCATTTCCCCTTGCGTAAGTGCTTTTGAGCAGCCCAGGGAGAGCAGGAGAGGTTTTTACCCTTTCCTCACTGGCTCAAGGAACATTATGCTTCACGCTCAGTAGCTGGAAGAGCAGGCATCTGCCCATCCCAGTTCCTCAGAGACAGGATTCCGATGCAGACAAAACAGCCTGCAGAACAGGGATCGCTGGGATCAGAAGGTGTTGCCTGGATGGCTCTGGATAAATCATTCAGCTATTCTACAGCTCAGCCCCTATCTGGGAATAATAATAATAATAATCTTCCTTGGCCTGTTTTCCTCAGGTAGGCTGGAGTTTATTCTGGGCAGGGATTTCATTTTGCTAAGGTTCTTACTGGGATCTCTAATCCTATCCAATGTTCAGCCTTCAGAAAACATGACCGTGGCCGTGGAGTGAGAGGAAGGGAGGTATTTTCACTCGCATACCCGCATACACAAAGATGCTCACAGGAGGAATTATACAATATATCTATATCTGTATATATATCTCTATATATAGTTTATTTCTCACAATCCTGGTAAGAGTTACAGGTGTATTGGGAATCATTTACAGTTTCACAGCATATGGAGTGGCCATACAGCTTCTAATGTGAGTAACATACAGTGTGTAGAGAGCACACGTTTCCAGCCCATCCACCCACCACTCATACAATGGGTTTTCAAAGCTAATACTAGATTCAGCTACGTAGAAAGCCTGGAAAATGTTAGGGTACAGCGTTGGGTGTCATACAACACTGTCAGTCACAACGGGACAAGCTAAACTACTTTAATTTTCAATCTAGTATTTCTAGTCTACCTGCATTATTGCATTTATACGCTTTTTTTTTTTTTAAGTCAAAGTAAATAGAATACTATATGGGAAAGGAAAAATTCTTGACTATTTTAGGATTTGAGCTGCAGCCCATACAAAGTGTCCATAGAAGCATAGACAAGGTTATAAATTCAACAAGGTATAAATTAGCTCTATAGCTTTGTGTGTAGGTAGGTGTCCATTTCCCTCCAGGAAATGTATCTAGCAGCATACTGTTTTCAAATAAAAAAATAAAACTAAAAACCAACCCAAACCTGTATGTTGAACACAGGTAATATGTGTAAGTGACAAGCAGGTCTGCAGAGTGACAAAATGTCACTCTGAAAATTATTATCAACTGGAAAACGCATCCAGGGGCTGATGCAAAACCCACAGATGTCACAGCAGGCATTTCCCTGCTGCTAGTGGTTCAGCTTTCTGTCTGACTTCCAGGGGCTTTGAGTCAGTCCCTGGCAAAGTAACAGAATAAAAGCAAACCAAAAAAAAGAAGAGAAATCCCCTGTAATCGGATCTTCGAGTTCCCTTTCTACAATTTTAGTTTCTCTTCAAGTTTATAAGCAACCTGCACCTACTACTAGAAGGAAGCTGGTTTGTACAGGAGAATTGAGATTACACCTTTTAGAGATTTGGACTGAAAGGGTTATAGCCAGTGACTCAGAAAAAGGCATCAGGCTTAAGAAGGGCTGCTCAAAACTGGATAAAGCCAAATGATTCATTTGTTGTTGCTGCTGTTTTTGAAACAAACTGTATGGCACCCTTGTTCTTATCAGATTGTCCCAGAAACTTGACTGCTTGAAGCTGATGAGGCAAAACCAGGGATACAATGCAGGTCTTTACTGTTGCAGGGTTGATTAAAGAGTCCTCTCTTCCTGCTGGGAGTTTTGGTACTGGAGCATCATCATGCACAGACAGAAGGAAACAGTAACTTTATTCTTGGGATCCTGCGCTGCGGATTTGCATTATGAGAAATTAAAAACTAGAATGGAGTAGACTGGGTATTTCAAGCTAGTAACAACTGGAAAAAAAAATGAGAGCAAGAGTAACATAGCCAAGTGCTGCTGGTCCAAATCCTATTTAATCCAAGTTATATTTTTCAGCAAAAAAATCTATTTAATCTGAAGAGCACAGCTTCCAGGAGCAGAGAATGTGTCTCCCTACACACTGCTTGTCAGTGTCCAAACAGAACAAACACTTGGAATCATTTTGGTTGGAAGAGATCAAGTCCTTTACAAAGCAGCCAGCAGAATGAGAGTGCAGGGTAGAGCCAAACTCATGCATTTGAAAACCAATTACTGTGATCTTTTCTGCATGCACTGAGTGCTAGCTTTTTAGTATGGTTTTGTTGAATGACATGTGAATTTTCCAGGTGCAGCCATCTTGTGTAACTTCATAAAACTCGAGCAGCCCAGTCAAACAGAAACATTCCTGCAGTCTTCTGTGTCCTCAGTCCTGCAGCTGGTAGAGGATGAGGGCTGCAGTGCATTAGCTACATATGATCTGATTCTGCAAGGCCAGCAAAAATGCAGGTCCTTGAGTTCAGCTGAGAGCCAGCTCTCTTCTCTGCCTGTATTTCTGGTGCTCCAAAATGTAGAGTACCAAGGCATTCCTAGCTTCAGCCAGGTATAGTGTTTGCATACACTGCATTAGCATCTTTCAAATAGCTTGAATACCCTCACATCCAACTGGCAGGCAGCTCCTGGGTCTCCAGTCCCAGGAAGAGCTTGCAGCCATACAGTGTTTCTCTGAGTAAGGACAAGAACATGACCTTCCAGCAACAGTTTTCTTCTCTACTGAGCTCCTGTGGCAAGCAAGCGCTCAGCGTCTTGCAACTCAAACCCCAAAGCTTTAGCAACCAGGGTGAATGAATACTTGGTATTTCCCTGCTGCACCACACAGTCTCTGCATTCCCTCTAGGTGCAGAGAGGCTGAACTTTGGCTGTATCTGTCAGGTGAGGCTGCCCAAAATCTGCCTCTGCACTGGGGCAGGGCTTCTGCCTCACTGTGGAGAGGTCACATCTGCAGAGTTGCCTGGGAAGACAGTTCAGTAAGTGAAGCAGCAGTAAAGAACAAGCAATGAACCAAATTTCTAGAAAGCAATGGAGCCATGAAGACCTGGTGTGACCAACCCTAAGAATCTGGGCTTTTAAAAGGAAAGCAGGTCACATGGCTGGAGTGATGAACTAAAAGAAAGAAAGTCTTCATCGTGAAGAACCCTTTACTCAACAGATTTAACTCTTTAGGGCCAATCAAGGTAATGTGATCTGAGCTAAGTAATGCAAGAAGCAATAAAAGGCTAAAAAATTACGTTGGAACAGAGCTGGCCAAGTCAAGCTGAATAGCACATGTGGCATGCTCCTAAGCCAGTGACTCAGATAAATTGCTGTCCCCTCAGCAGCACCTTGCATCATCATCTGGGCTGCTAAATTCAAGCTATCATAGTCTAGCTCAATGACAGCTATCTTCTGGACAGCTGCATTCAGTAGGATGGGCTTAGATTAAGCACTCTCTATCTTGTTTTTGACAGCTAAGGCTGTCATTAACCTTACTAACCTTATTCTATGTTCCTTGCCCTTAAAAATAGCTTCTCATTAATGATCAACACTTCAAAAAGATAAACTCTGCAATAGTACTTATTTCCAGTTGAAATGCAAACAGGAGACAATGGACAAATAAACGCCAAAAAATGGTTATTGCAGGACAAGAAGAACTTTGGGATAGATTATGGGCTGTAAAGAGAGCAGCAATATTTAATCCACTATATGAGGGAGACACTGCCCACATTGCCCTCTTCTGATTTCTTTGTAGCACACAGCTTGAATCCTGGTGTATGTGGGTAGTACAGCGTGCCCTGGCCCAAAAGAAGTGGATAGGGTATAAAAATTCAAAGGTGCTAAAATAATGATGTCACGCTTTTTGCTCTGCCCTGGTTCTCACACCTCCGTAGCAACACTGACTCAAAGCTCTCTGCAGAACTGATTGAAATTCCTGGAATTTCACTCTTCAGGCAATCTTTTCATTGCCTCCATTGTTTGGTTTGTTTCTTGTTCTTTTTGTTTGTTGGTTTTTAAAGTTATCCTGATGGTTATTGGCAAATATTACTGTCCATATAGGCATAGTTGTGCAGATAAACACTTCCCTTATACTCAGCAGAGGAATAAGAAGTTTTTTGCCAATTTTGTGCAAACATGACACTAAAATGCCTTTGAATCTTCCAGTGACCTGCTGTCATATCCCTGGTGCCGATAAGACCCAATGCCTGATCACAACATGTGAAATTGATGGAAAAATCCCCTTTGTTTTCAGCAATGGCTCAGCTGCTAACCTTTGATCCAACAAAGACACCAATCCATTTTCAATTTGTCACTAAACCAAGTGGGGCTGGGAAGTGCTCTAGGGCAAGCATCTGTGCAGTGCTTGTCATCCTGAAAATGCTGCTATGTTATCCTTTTCTTCCCAGGTTTGTTTGCATCGTGCTGCAAAGCTGTTGGGGGGTAGCAGGACTTGCCACAGCCTATTAAGCCAGTGGAAAGTGGAAGCAGACCTGTAATCTCTTCCATCTTTCTGAAAGCTAGAAGCATCAAAAACCTTCTAAAAAGTTGCCCAAGAGAGCATACAACATCTTTGAATCCAACCAAAACTTATGGATCAGGTACAGTAATTGAATCTATAGTTTTAGTGATATGCTGCAATGTCTGTGAAGTCAAACTTCTAATTTAGACTTTATCAAAAGAGTAAACTAGCAATCTAGATCTCTTCAAAACCCAAGTGCAGAATCTTATTAGTTTTAACAATTAGTTCATTCTCCCCATGGAGATATCACTAGAAGGACTTCATATCACAAACGCCACACAAAGAATAACATCAAGCAAATAACAGCATGTGCTCAGTACGAGAAAAGACAACTATTTATTTAGCACAGCGAGTTCAGTCATTTAAGCCTTCGGCTTCTCGACAGCTTTGAGTTCAATCTCGCTTCGATGCTGAGAGAGAGGAATTTGCTCTTCTCAGCCTACTTCTCACTGGACATTTTTACTCAGAATGAAACCACCGCACAGCCAGGCACATTAAGGCAGAACGGGAGGTGTTTGCTAAAAGGAGGTCACTTGCAAGTGCGTGGTCCCAGCACTGGGAGCTCGTGTGGCATCTATGCTTCATCTGCCTGACTCAAGCCAACGCTAGACCCACACTTTGACAAGTGCTACACAGTCCATACAGTTCAATATAGTCTAAAAGTACCTTAATTTCAAGCTAGTAGCCCACATGACTATCCAGGGAGAAGAACAGTAGTTTTGAGCTTTTAGCATAATGGGCACATTATACATTCAGCAGTTCACTAGCCATACATTCTTTGCACTGAGCAGAAACCAGGACGGAAGAAATGTGGGTGCTGTGTGGTGTGATGCATGGCACAAAAAAGACACCATGAACACTCTGCGAGAATGCAGGGGAACAAATGAAGTGTCACCTCCAGATTTTGTTTTGGTTTTCCCTACAAGGAATGTGACTTTACTCAGACTGCAGTAGTATAGATATGGAAATATACGAAATATAGACACACACTTCAAGGCAGGTTGGTGGTACAGACACACTCACATGTAAGCAGAGGTGTTTCTCAAATCAAACCAAAGAGGTGGGCTCCAGATGATAGATCTGGACAGCAGACAGTGTTAAGTTACGTCAGTAAGCAGAAAATCCCTTATGGACAGGACAAATTACAGTCCCTACCTGGGGAGGGCTGCATGTGGTTATGTACCCAGAGCATGAGCTGCTGTTGGGCACTGCCTCTGTGGGGTGTTTCTGGATGGGGTTACTGGCCTTGCACCCACGTGCCCTAAGGGCAAGGAGGAGTCAGATGCAAACAGAAATGGTTAAGGCCCACATTGGCTGAGAATTGTTTTTCCCTCTTCTGTTGCCAAACTTTAAGCAAAGAAAATGAAACCACTTCATAAATAAAATAATAAGATACTCAAATGAGGCAGGCATTTCCTCCCCCCACCCCCCCTGCATCTATCTATGCTGATCAGTGCAGAGTAAATAAATGCTGCATCTGTAGTGTCACACACTGCTAAAAATATCCAATGTCAGGAGAAGACAGGACAGGTGGAAACATCTCTTAAAGGCAGGAGTTGAAAATAGAGGCATTGGTCTGAAAATCACCAACCCTGCTTTGGTAAAACATGAATCAGAACAGGGGTGGCCATCTTGCCTTCCTCATAAGCGGCACAGGAAGAGTCCCTCTAGCCAAAAGCTTTGTGCTCAAAAGGAAGCTGAGCCCAGGAATATCCATCCCTGTATCCAAACACCATTGGTTTGGATATGTTACTCTGTACACAGTGGGCAGTAACGTAGAGGTTCCTGGCTGGACTGCGCTGCCTTTTGCTTCTGGCTTGCGCATGAGGACATGCCAAGGGCACTGCCAGAGTCTGGGTGCTCTGCATCACCCACAGGCTCTTGGATGAGGTGCAGGCAGGGAGGTCCAGCAGCCCTATTGCATCCTCTTGCAAAGCCCTGCTACAGTTGCTGCAAAGGTTCTGAACTAGGACTGCTTCTGAGTTACTTTGTGCCTCACATCTCTACTTTCCCAATTCAGTTACTTTGTGCCTCATGTCTGCTTTCCCAATTCATACTCCTCTGCTGTTGTTTACCCTTACTTCACCCTTCCTCCCCTCCTCCCCTTCAAAAGTGAATGATTGAACTGCAAAGCAGGATGAGGGGAAATCCATTCTTTAGACAGAAGTGACGCTATGCAGGCACCCAGCCATGGACCTCTCTGTTCAACCCCCCAAAATTCTCCAGGCTGTGACACACTGCTGCTTGAAGACATATCCAAAATACAGGGAAGGAGTGCTTTGAACCACCAGGATTTCTCCTGGGCTGTTAGTACTCTTTCCAAAACCACTGTGAACTCAACATACACATCTCTCTCTGTACTGGTGAAGGTAGAGGTAGACATTAAACTCATGCTGCAAGCAGCCTGTCATTCATCAGAAGACAGCATTGGATACTCCCAGAGGTTCTGTGCCTTTGGGAATATTTTATGAGCCTTAGAGAAAAGAGGGTGACCATAGGAATGGCCATGCTGTGTTGAAAAGGCTTTTTGTCTGAGGAAGCTGTATGCATTCAGCCAAACAAATTTGGAGGTAAATAAAGAAGACACGAGCCATGAGAATTACCAGGGTTATACACATCTGCCATCCTATCTAGTAATTTTGCCAGAAGCTGGTACTGCAAAGACAGCACCCACAGAACATATGCCTTTCTCTGGCCTAATACACACTGAATGTGTACATCTAGGCTCAAAGACACATCACGTTGGCTCTTGAACTGATTTCTACTGAACTCACCCCACAGTCTCATGACCTTTCTAAGTATCACTCAAAAACCCCATTGGCTGCAACTTGTTGAGCTCCAGGGAGTCTGTGGTTCTGACCTCATCTAATCTCTGACATCATCTGGGCTCTGACCCAAGTTAAAAAGACAGTGCAAGATAAAGTGACCCACTTCTTGGTGTCAGGGGAAGGGCATCTGGCAAGGCACTGAATCCTCTCATTGCCTGCCTTCCTTTTCTTTCTTAGAAGGTCTGGCTTTAGACCTGAGGTACTCACCAGTGAAACCAGGCTGCTCCCCAGTGCTGGGAATTTGTTTCCATTTCCAAGATGTGGAGGAGTCACAAATCCCTGCTACTGTCACAGGCGAGGAATCACTCTAGAACAGATGGATCTTTCCAGTGACCTTGATCAGGGTTTCCCTGGCATGATGCAGGCCAGTGTTATTTTTCATGGGGTCCCAGCTCCTGTCCACCCCTAAAACCAGCCTGTGTTTCCCTTTTTTCCTACCTCCTCATGTACAGAAAGGCCATAGCCTCCAGTGGGAAAATACCAGCTGAACAGACTTATCCAAAGCCCCAAGAAATTAACACAAAGAACCCTCACTTTACCCCACACACTGGGACAAGTGAACTGGGTCTTCTCACTAGGCTCCATCTCTTCCCTCAAAACAAACTGAACAGAAAAACCAAAACACAAAGCAGAGACTCTGGATGGGACGAAGAACACTTTGGACTTGAAAACAGGGGACTGCAGGAGAAGTGGGGGTGGCTCCCAGGGAGGACAGCAGGGGAGGGGAGGGGACACCGTCATTTACACCAATCAGGAGAAGCTGTAATCTATACACAGTGGTATAAGCCAAGATATATTATATGAAAAGAACACACTGAGTGCATGGAGTTACCCACATTGGGTCAAACTGGCACAGTTGTCTTGAACAAGACCCTTGGAGTTGCAGTTGGTGTTTGACATTGACCTATCTAGCTTGCTCTCTCTATATAGATATGTATAGAATTTGTATGCATGCATTTGTCTCAAAAGGAGCTGTACAGCCAGGTTGGGTTTCTCAGCCCACCCTGTCTCGGTCTTCATTTTTTCCGGGCGAGGAACGCCACTCCCACAATCACCGCCAGCGCTGCCACCGCCACTCCTCCAACGATGATCAAGGGCTTCATGTTGTCGAAGATGCTGCTCGGTGACTCCTCGGAGCCATTTCCCTTGTGGTCAGAGTCAGGGGACTGGCCAGTGGCCTCTTGTGTCTCCGTGGCAGCTGCACTGGGTTTCAGGTTGCTGTGGTTGTTCACAACAGCAGCATCGCTGCCCGTCTTCTTGGGGGCAGTGGCAGGATTAGGCTGTTCTTTGGGGGTATCCTTCTTGTCTGCATTCGTGGCAGGCCCAGGGCTGGGCTTTTCTGACTTTCCAGAGCTGGGGGCCTTGGCATCGGGTTTGTTTCCACTTCGGACGTTACCTTTGGAATCCATCCCTATGAGTGCTGCAGGTGGTCTGACGCCAAGCACAAGGGAGGCAGTCCTAGGTCTTCTTTGCCTTTGCCTTGCTGCTGAGTGAAATAGGAGCCACAAGAGCAGAACAGCTCAGTGCCTTGGGGTGATCACCTTGGGATGATGTTCACACTGGTATTGTCCTACCTGGACATGATACAGCACCTGGAAGAGAAAGAATACCAATAAGAGCTGGGTGAATAAGAGAGAACAAGCTACCGGCATCCCACATGAAGTGGAGAACAAAACTGTGGAGAACTCTGAGCTGTAGTCAAAGTATCTACTGTCCAAACGCATCACACCAACCTTCACTGAAGTCTGCTGCAGCTACGCTCCATTTACAAGATAAATCCCTAGCTGTGTATGTAATGTCCTTTATCTGTGACAAGATGTACTCATGTCCAACCAAACTTTAATTCCTTGATGCCTTCCTCCTGGATAAAGGGAGAACAAGTTGTTCCATGGGAAAGAAGATCAACAGCTCGTCCCTGACCATAACTCACCTTTGCTCTTTTTGTTTTGTAGAACTATCCCAACTGAAGTTTAGGAAGTGGTTAATGTAATATCTGATATCTCCATCCACATAGATGGAGATATCCACATAGATCTCCAATCTACATGGATTAGGTTCTCAATTATCAAAGCTACTGTAAGGCAAGGTAAGGGCCAGAACCTCAGCTGCTGCAGTGTGGTGTATGAGCTCCAGTGAATCATTTGCGTTGAAAGGGACCTTTAAAAGTCATCTAGTCCAACTCCCATGCAATGAACAGGGACATCTACAGCTCAGTCAGGATGCTCAGAGCCCCATCCAGCCTGACCCTGAATGTTTCCAGGGACAGGGTATCCACCACATCTCAGTGGCAGGCTCCTGTCTCCTTGCAGTGGTTATCTAGGTTTGCCTACAAAACATCACCCATACTGCTGACAGAGATGAACTGGAATCATTTTTTCCAAGGAACTGATGAAAGCCGCGTACAGATAATTCAGCAAGTTCACCTAAGCCAGCCTTACTGGGCAGGGTGAGCTGGGAGATGGAGCTCCCCCAGCTACTTCACTGTGTGCAGGGGACAAGGAGAGGCTTGCCATCAGCACCACATCAGGTTTGAGTTGGGAAATGATAAATAAACAAGAGGAAGCCATCAGATCTGAGTCACCTGCTTCATTACCTCCCAGCTGACCTTTGGTGCTGCCAAGGGCTCTCTGCCTGCTAAGTGAAATATGAGCTCAATAACTGTCTGGGTTTAGAAATAGAGAAGCTCATCAAAAACCTCTCCAGATAGACGTTGCTTCTATAATAGCTCAGAGCACAGATCTCTCCTTTAATGGTGGACAAGCAGAAGGTGCCAGGGTTGCATAACTGCTTTACACTGTTGCCTCTTCTGGGAACCAGGCTAACAAATGCTGGGTTTTAAATTTCTGCCTAGGCAGAAATGATGGTCTGGAAGAGACCTACCCAGAAATGCTAGATTTGGGTTCAGAGCAAAACCAGGCAACAGTTTCCTGATTGGTGCGAGAAACTGTCCTGTCTCCTCCTCTCCATGGAACCATTTCTTGTTCTATGGCCAGCATTTCCTCCAGCATCAGTGAACTGGAGTTAACTTGGGGAACTGCAACACCAAAATCATTGGAATCCATATCTCTCATCATGCTTATGGTGTAGTATTCGGTGAGATGGAGCCTGAAAGCTCCAAATGACTTTAGGTGATCCAAGCTGACTAGTTTTGAAATAAATAATTGAAAAGAGGCAAATAATCTGCTCAAAGGGTTTTATAACCAGCATTGAGCAGGATATTTGCTAGCCTTCTCCTTGGATTTTCAATTCAGTCTCACTCAAACTTCTCCCAGGGAATAGAATCAAACCACCTCTTCCCTCAATTATGAGCAACCAAATGCCCATGTAGCTGCTCTACATATCTGCAGCTGAGCAACACCTACTGACATCACTGAGTTTGATATTAAATCATTTTGGGAACCCGAACTACCACCCCCCATGCTTCACTGAAGATTATCATGCACTTGGGCATCTTGTACCACACAAACCTAATTGCAGTTGCTCACTGAGACTAAGACCTTCCCTGTGGCCTGGGTGTAGATAAGCACATGCACTTGGCCAGGAGTGTTGTTTTCCTTGCTCATTTTGCAATATCTCTCTAAATGACATCTGTCTCGTCTTTTCCTTCCTATTGCCTCCAAAGGACATTGATAATCCAACCCTGGAGGCATTTAAAGATGTGTAAATGCGATGCTTAAGGCTGTGGTTTCATGTTAGGCTTGGCACTGCTGGGTTAATGCTTGGACTTTATAACATTGGAGGTCTTCTCCAACCTGAATGATTCTATGATTCTGTAATGTTCTTAGTAGAAATGCTAAGTACATCCAGAGGCATATTCCTATGTACTACACAGCTCCAATCATTTGCAAGGCTCTATTCTTCTGATTTGAGGAAGAATTAATTCTCATTTTACATGTGGTGCAGTGATAACACAGGCCACAGAGAAAGTGAGGATCACAACAGGAGCAGACTTTGAGGTTCAGACAGGGAGAGTCAGATTCATCATATCATAAATGTTCAATTACCTACATGGTGACTTCAATGGCAATTAGCTGGGCAGCTCACACTTCCTAGCATTGTGCAGCTATACTGTATACTTTTGCTAAATATTTGCTGTTTTCCCCTTATGCAGATTCCAAAGATTTTAAAATATTTGAAAATTCACTATCAGCTGTTCCTAAGTGTGCACGTGAAAGGCTTTCTGCCAGCTGTTTCCCACTGCCGGGAAGCTTTGCCCTACACTCCTTGCTAGACCATGTGAACATGCAGAACACAAGTTTTGCATTTATTTCTTCCTGCCAACTCAGGCTCTAAAAGCAGTACAGTGCATTCTCCAGAACTGATCCCAAAGCTGTCAATATTCATCAGACTCCCTAATTTTTTCTCTCCTCTTTCTAGCCCTGTGCTTTCAAGGGCACCAGCACTGCTCATTTCCAAGCACCCCTGCAGCCCTTATCAGGCTCAGAAGAACAGCAATTTCCTCATTTTAGAAGGGCTTTTTTTCTCCTTCCTTTCCCTCATTCATTTCATCACATAAAGTTTTCCCTCTCACGGCCAGCTCTCCACCTTTACTTTCTTCTCCATAGCTCATCACATCTATTTATTCCTCCTCAGCTGCTGTCTCCACATGTCTACCCATTCCTCCCCCTTCCAGTTCCCTTCTGCCTCCCACACAGACGGTAGCACTGTAGAATGAGGTTTTGTGAGAAACAGACTTCATTCCCTCTGTCTCCCTGATTCTATGCCTTTGTTTAACAATCTTTGCCATTTGCAGAGAGTTTTCCACTTGCCAACAGTTCTTCCCAGGCTGAGAAGGGGAAGCAGAGATCATCACACCAGCAATTAAGGAGAAAAAGGAAAAGAAAAGCACTCTAAATTCTTGCCCATCAAAGTTCTTGGCTAGTTCTGCTTGCTGCAGCTCAAGGTCAGTGCAGTCAGACCCATTACAACAAGCCCCACACAAACCAACAGGGAAGGAGCAGCTTTCCCTGGCTCCTTGAAGGGCATCTTTTCTGCTTCAGCCCCTCTCCCTGCCCACCACATTAGCAAGCGCATCTATTCATCTGTCTCCTGTGTGTGCAGATGAAAGCTGCATCAATTCTGCACCAATTGAAGCAGATGAGTCATTGCTGGCTTTGCTGTAAGGTATCACTCTTAGAAGGTCCTATTCCCTGCCTCATTCCCATGCCCTATAATCTTCTCCTCATATTTTTGAGTTAGAAAGAAAACCGAGAAAATCTGGAAAGAGGAACTGAATGCAGGATGCAGTGTGAAGCTGCACCCCACAGCTGTATGGGGTCTTCAAACATCACACTCACAGACTTGTACCGTATCAGCAAAAGACAATTCAGCTTACACAGTGGGGCTATGCCTCTGAATTCATGTTTGCAGCCAAAAAGGCCCATCCACAACCTCCAGGTGTCCTCCAGCTGAAAACATACAATCATAAAATATCCCAAGTTGGAAAGGACCCATAAGGATTGTTATCCTCAGGGATAGCTACTGACTTCTATCAAGGCCATGCCAAAAGAGCCTGAGTTGGCAGAAAAGACCTTAAAAATCCTCAGATCTCCTTCCTTAACCTCCCCTTCATATCTTTGTCTTTCTCACCTGTCTGGAAAAGCAATTCACTGGAAATTTGGAAAGCATCCAAAGCACCAAAAGTTCACTTTTTCAGAATAAATAAGAGAGTGATAAATACCAAAGTTCCAAAGCTCCATTCTCCTGACTGTGAGTTAGCTGTCTTGGCTTTTGGGCAAGGAATTAGATGGGTCTCTTGGACTAGGCAAGCATTAATGCTTCTCCCTGCCCATCCCCATTGTCCAACAACACAGGGAAAAATTTTCAGTGTACAAGACAGATGCAGAACACCAGTTGATTTCAAGAGCTTCCCAGATCCATTTGCCAGATTCGGTAGGTCTCAGCTGCCATACCTGTATTCGATCATTTAGGACCAAACCAACTTTCTAAGGAACAGAAAGTGGCTCTCTTCTCCAAGGAAGCTTCCCTTTACTGAGTGCAATTTGCACCTGCTGATGCCAGCTCACAGGACTCAGTTACCATCACAGATTCATCTGTTTGCACCAGCTGGTGATTATGAGCAGGTAATTTTAGCCTGAAGTCTGCAGATTTTGTTCCACTATGGCAGACTGCACATAAACAAGGAAATGAGAATTTAGCCACTTCAGAGAGGCACCTGAAAACTTACAACTATATGACTTCCCCAAAGGGAGGAAATAACATCAAAAACAGCATAGTTCTGAGTACCAAATATAGGGCAGCTGAGGGACCAGGCTGTTAGAAACAGGGTGCTACTGGAGTATCAGTGCCATTGCTGGCTTCCTACATGATCTCTGCATGTCACAAACTTGTGGAAATGGGATTTATGTCATACTGGAGGCTGAGCTGACTGGTGCTAGATCTTCAAATGGAAGAAAGCAAGGTTATGTTGAGTATTGCCATTACCAAGAGATTTTGGCTGAGGTGGCCAGGGGGAAAACAGCTGGAGCCACAAGAATGAGAAGTGATGACCTCAAGTTGTGCCAGGGGAGGGTCAAGCTGAATAGTAGGAAAAAAATCCTCTCAAGGAGTGGTGCTGTATTGGCACAGGCTGCCCAGGGGGGTGGTGGAGTCAATATCCCTGGAGGCATTCAAGAACCATGGAGATGTGGCACTGAGGGACGTGGTCAGTGGGCACAGTGGGGATGGGTCAGTTGTTGGACTTGATATTAGAGGTTTTTTCCAACTTTGATGATGCTATGATTCTAAGGTTGTGAAGCCCAAGACCATTCTTACAGCTGTTTTTTCTCCCAGAAATAGCCCATAGGCAAATGCCCCCAACGCACCAAGGTGGCTTGGAAATGTGTTAAGAAAAAGCAGGGAGCTCATTTTGTTTCCCAGTGCTCCAACTCCCCAGTCCTGATAGGGCAAACAGCCCTTCTGCCCCTTTCTGTGCTGCTGAGGCAACAGACACATCAAAGGCAGCAAGATGCCATGCCAGCAGCCAGGCAGTGTGACGGCAGCATACTGTGACTAAGCCATTTCCCATCTCCAAGAGGTGCTGTGGTGGCGGATGAGGTAATGCAGTGCATCTCAGTATTGCCATAAATCTCAGAACAGTTTTACGTAAGGAGTCATGTAGCTGGGAGCTCTTCAGCCACCTCCACTGTACTTTGGACTGACGCAACGCCCAGCAAATGCAATAAAACAGTGTGAATGCATTCAGAGTGGGAATTGCTTTCTGTAGAAGCTCTTTAGCAGGCTTGATGCACCAGGGCTGGGCTGTGCAGCCCTCCCAAAGCGCAGCCTGGAAGCAGCAGCACTGAGCTGCACCGCATGCTGCTGACCCACTTCCCTGGGATGAAATATTGATGGATCCTTCTCCCAACATGCTGTTCGCTGCTTCTTGCATCCCAGATTAAATGCTTCCCACCCAATGAGCCCTTTGAATTTTGAGCATCAAGAAGCTGAGAAGCTTTCAGCAGGCAGCAGCCTCAAATCGCTGCTGGCAGTGTCTGCGTCAGCCCTGTGGCTGCATCAAGACCTGGAACCTCAACCATCACATCCACGGTCGTTGAACCTCACAGGATCTGTGTAAATTAATGCCACATTTCTGCTTTGTTACCTGCTCTTACCCTATGTGAAAATAACTCCAAGAGCCCTAAGAAGAGCTATAAACCTGCTCACTGCCTTGTGCAGACAAACCCTTCTTCATGTGCCTTGCAGCTGCCCTGGAACGTGGCAAGAACAGGGAAAGCAGCACTGAAACAATCCCAGGACACAGAATTTTGCCTCCATGGAAATTTGCCTGCATGAGGCCATGAGACTGCATGAGAAGTCACTCCATATCTCTGTTACTGGAACAAGGCTGTAGCCTTTACCATTCAAAATTGCAGGGCATTAGATCCCAAGCCTTTCCCTGAGACAGCTTTGCTCAGCCATCCTCCAGAGGGCTGCCTGCTCCAGGCTGAAGGCCATCACCTCCCCCAAAACCCTCAGGGTCTGCCCAAAGAACAGAAGAGCAATTCCCTGTTGCATCCATCCAAACACCTAGCAGGAACCTCAGCAGTACCCCAAATGCAGAAGTGCTTTTGGTACCTCCAAGCTTTGCAGTTCTATTTCCTTTATGGCATGCCAAGAGAGAAGATGGGGAGAGGATTCACCCTCCTAACGCTGCTTTTAAAGCCCCATCTTGACAGTCATTGGTCCCACTTCTCTCTGAAGCGCAACAGACACGAGCAAAAAAGGAAAGAAAAAAAAAAAAAAAAAGAGAAGAAAAATAATAGGATGAGAAAAAGAAAAAAGGAACAAAAAAAAAAAGGGGTCATCTCTGACACAGTACAATAGCCCCAGGGACTGCAGTAAGCAGCAGCGGATTTAGCAGCTCTCTTCATCTTATGGGCATCCTGATAGACCCTTCAGATTGAAGCCTCTCATGGCATCACCCTCTCTGCATCTCAGCGGTGGCCAAAAAGATTGCAGATTCCATTCTGCAAGATCTGAAAACTGTTGCTTTGCAGCTGAAATGTGAGGAGCCCCTGCAGGTGGATGGGGAATAATTCAGCAGTGACCTTCTGGGGATCGAGATTTCTCCAATGCAGGAAGGCTGCCCTATATCCATCCTTCCTCCCCACATCCCACCATGGATGGAACCGCTGCACCGCAATTGTGGCCACCCGCCAGCCAAGGGATGAATATGTGCATTTAGGGGAAATTCTAGATTCTTCTTCCTGCTGCAACTGCATGGGTGAGGGGCTGGAAAGATGGGAACTGCTGAAGGTCGTGGCTGTGAAGGTCAGAATGTGGAGGTTGGTCCCCATTTGGAGCAGGGAGCTCTGTCCAGCTGCATCCTCCCATTCCTGACAGCATCCTGCCCAAGTCCCACCCAGGAGAAGAGGCTGCCACCACCTTCCTACGGCTCCAGCACCAAAGTTCTCTCAGGCTCACCTCGGATATGGCATAAAAATCCTCTCCCCCCTCCTCAGTGGTCACCAAGACCTCAGGCAGAGACCAAGCTAACACATCTCTGCACACATGGATGCAAAAAGAGCTACACACAGAGGTGCACAAAATGCTCCAGACACCCCTCATGCATTTCATTCCCATCTGGTGTCCCCCTCCCATTTGGTACACTAGCTGAAAAACCTCTCAACTCTCCATGAGGGGCTTGATTTTGTTTTTGGTCTGTTTCTCTTTGTAAGCAACTTTTCAGCACAAAGCTGAATACCAATATCAAATGCTATCCATTTGGTATCAGAAATATAGCCCCACCCCAGCAGAACAACCCCCAGCTCCTAACATGGAAAAAGAAAGCATTTATCAGCCAGGGCTATTAATTACCAGCACTGCTTGCTCTGCATAACCTCCTGCCTGTAGACTGCTAGCAATTAGACATTTAACATAGCACAATGCAGGCAGAAAGGAGCAGGAACACAGCTGGGAACCTGGCAAGAGCCTTCCAGGGCTGCAGCCTCCATCCCAGCTCCCTGCCTCTATTCCTGGTCCCTACCTCCATCTCAGCTCCGTGCCTCCATCACAGGGCTTCAGCCTCCATCCCATTTCCCAGCTCCATCCCAGCTCCCTGCCTCCATTCCAGATCTGCAGCCTCCATCCCAGCTTTCTGCCTTCATCCCCTCTTCCAGCCTCCATCCCAGCTCCCAGCTCTATTCCAGGGCTGCCTGACCTTGAAGGACATGTGCAGAGATCCTTGCTATTTTGGGTTAAGACATACTGTTATTTATTAACAGGTATTAAAATCTCCCTCCCCTCTCTCCAAACTCCCCCCCAGTTAGTGATATGCAGGGGGAAAAGCAGCAGCCTTACCTCTGTCCTCCTGAGCTGGCTCTTGCGCAGAGAGGAGGAATGGAGGCAGAGGAAGAAGGGAGGGTGAGGGAGTGGAAAAAACTTGGGAGTTTCCCACAATGCACCTCTGCAGACCGCAGGAAGATGGAGAGCAGGGGAGGAGGGCAGAGAGTGATCCAATCCGGAGGGGAGGGCTGGGACCACGGAGGGGGACAGGATGCCAAGGGGAAGGGATGGGGGGGGGGCATGTCTGACACCTCCGTGTCTCAGGGCTGGGTGATTTGGGGCTGTCCCCACAGCACTGAGCATACAGCAATTGCAGCCACCAACTTGCAGCCGGGGGGAGAGAATGGGAAGGGGGCAGCATCTGAGATGCTTCTGTGTGTAGAGAAAAGGGAAAAAAATAAAAGGAAAAAAAAAGGGATTTGGGGGCTCATGGCACTCAGGATTTCTGAGAATGTTGTTAGAAATGCTCTCATATGAGAGACGCTCTGCGCAGCACAGGGAAGGAAGCTAAAATGTTGCATGGGGGGGGGTTGTGGCGTCTCTGTTCTCTTCTCCCTGAATCTTCCAGGTTGAAACCACCTCACAAGCACATCACTGGGGCCAAACCTTGCATTTCCCCAGGGCCATGTCCTGGGACTTCTTGTGGGTCTTTTAGCTGGATTTGATCAGGAAATAAGGGCTATGATGCTTGTTTGAAGCAAACTACAGAAAATCCATTGCAGGAGAGCGCAGGAGGGAGCCAAGTGCCAGCACAGCACGCAGTGCTTCAGCTCAAGATGCAGCAAGGTGAAAGCAGCTCCTTCAAGGTCAGAGGGAGAGCTTGTCTCTTGTATGGACCTTGGACATTTGCCATAGGCTTCATGCAATAACTACAATAAATAATGTCATAGCAGGCTAACTCTGCAGTCATCATATTTACTTATCAGCATTTTACCCGTTCAGTATATTATGGTTATCATAATTCAGCATCTCTGCTGCTGGTCCACCTGCAACTTGTTGTCTGTGGAGACTGATCCCATACACAAACAGACCTGCCAGCATCATCAAGTTGTTATAATTTTAGCATGTTTTTCCAGTGCTGAGTCCCGAGCCTAGGTGGATGCAGCTTTTGAATGCCAGGATTCTCTGGGCTCCCTCAAGAGCTGTCGCAACTAATAAGAATTCTTATTTTCATCTCCTGTTACATGCTTTCTATCCTCCTTTCTCCAACCACACCTCCCCCATTTTATTCCATTATCAGAAAAATCACTGTCCACAAGGTGATGCAAAGGATTCTGCTTAGATATTTCTTCTCCTAATAACATTTATAGTACCCTATACTCCTAGTGGGAGGTTTTTTTTATTACAATAGTTTCCACATTATTTATTCTGTTCTATAATAGGACTATTTGTCCTTGGTCATGTCTAGCTCTCTCATCGATGAAGCTTGCCTTTGGTTTATTATTAGTATGCTACATCCATGCCTGATCATTACAACTGGTTTCTTTCTCAACAGTCTGACATGCACCTTGTTCAGACAGAGCAGGACTGAGAAGATCTGATTGTTGTAAGGTCTGTATGGTAATTCTCCTGGCCATTAATATTAATGCCCACTGCTACTCACATAGATGGCACTCCCCTGGGCAGCCTGATCAACAGCAGGGGTTGGAAACGAATGATCTCTAAGGTCCCTTCCAACCCAACCATTTCATGGTTCTACAATCTTTAAGACCCCTTCCAAACCAAAGATTCTGTGGTTCTATGATCTTTAAGGACCCTTCCAACCCAACCATTCTATGGTTCTATGATAAGATTCTGCTGCTCTGGTTGCTAGCATAGCATCCATTAAGACTATTTTTCATTATTCTCGGGAGACAATAATTTGAACAAGTTGCTGAAGTGAGCCCATGTCCTACTGGTGCATTAGGAAGCCCTGGTATTGCCAGTGAAGGGTTTTATGTCTTCACTTCAAAAAAGAAACCTGAAAAATGATTCTTCAGCAAGCAGGGTGACAAAGAAACGGTTGGAGCTATAATTGAAAACCACTTGTTGTCCGCTGGTAGCTTAGCAATAATCACTGCCTTGCTAAAATAGGAGCAGTTCTCATGGTGAACACGTTTATTTGGCAGTACTCCATTGTCATTTGTCAGGATTTCTCATCAGCCTTGCTAATGGGACACAGAGAAAAATTATACAGGTTTATAATTTGTCAAGAAATGTTGTTTAAAACAATCCTCAAAGATTTAGCTTTGGCTTCTTCAGGGCGTGACTAGAAGATGCCTGACTTCAGCTTGGGCACTGGATTTTCCCCAGGGCTGATCTTTCTGCCATCCCTTCAGAGTGGCTGTTAGAGTACTGTGAATCTGTCTCTTACTGCTTATATCTGTCCTCTGGCCCTTTATAATGGCCTTTTAATGTTTTTTGTATTACTTGTACAGAAATACATTTCTTCTGATGTTCTACTCCTACCATCACCATTTCCATCCATCCCCTCTCCTCTGTTATCCACCTCCCTCCTTGCTGAAAGGCACTTGTCCCATGTTAAATTTTACCCTTTTCTCCTGAACGTAGCTCAAGATTATTAGCAACCCTATCTGATCTCTGCCAGAGAATTTTCCCATGTTATGCTTTTGGGCAGAACATTCTTGTGCTTCATTGCCAGAGCCACCTGTGCCTCACCAGCAATAGGTTGGTGGGACCTGACATCATATCCCACCAGCACCTTTGTAATTTTGCATTGGCTTGTAAAGTCTTCTCCCAGTTTCTAGCTTTGAGTGACGCCCTGTTTTTCTTCCCTCAATGATTTTCTACCCTTCTGTGTCAGTGATTTTCCTCCTCAATCTCTGAGCCAGCAGCAACCCCCATCTGAGCAGCTCTGTCCCTGTGAAGTTCACACCACTACCCCTCACCTGCCCTTTCTGAATGAGTGTGAGACTGAACCTCAAATACCACTCTGGCTGCTCTTGGTCCTTATGTATTCTCAGGGATGTCTCATAACAATGTTGAAAGAGCACTGATTTCTAACTCTTGCTTTTTTCAGGTGATTTTCCATATCCCGCAATGGCAGGAGAAGAAAGTACCATCCTCTTGGAAGCACTGGAAGGTCTCACACTCGAAGACTTCCAAGAGTTCAAGGAGAAGCTGTCACACGTTGACATCAAAGAAGGCTGGAACACTCACAGGGATGAGCTGGAGAAGTTCACCCATCCTTCCACCCTCATCAATTATATGGGCGACAGCTATGGGGAAGCCGCTGCTATGGACATTGCCATTGGATTGTTTGAGGGGATGAACCAGAGGCACCTTGCTGAAAAAATCCTTGATGAGAAGGTGAAAGGTAAGCAGCCAGGGTAAATTTTTATTTCCTTTGTCTTTTGAGTGCTGGGGACAGAGAGAAGTCAGTAAAAGAGCAGGTTTCAGCTTTGTGGTGAGACTGGAACAGCGAGGGTGTCCCTCTCATCCTATCAGGGTTCCTCTTCTCCCTTGCCCCATGATGCACTGAGGCCACAAGCAGATAAGGCCTGTGGGGACAAGGCCAGGGTGCCTGGAAAGGGCAGCAGTGTTCCTGTACAAGCAGACACTGCAACCACAAGATCCAAGCTGGCAGATGTTTGCTGAGCTGGAGGACACAAGGGACACTTTGTGGACATTCCTGGTAGGGCCCAGAAGAAGAAAGAGAGCATAACTGAATTTTATATCAAGGCAGAGCACTGAAATAAATGTCCTGTGCTGTTGCTGTGTCAGGAGCATGGCTATGCTTTGGAACTGACTCTACTTCTATGTGGTGCAGAGTACAAGCAGAAATACAGAGAGCACGTGGCCAGAGAGTTCCTGCAGTACAAAGAGGTGAATTCCTGGCCAGGGGAGAACCTGTCTGTGAGCGACCGCTACACCAACCTGACCATAGCCAGGAGGTCTTGGAACCAGCATGGAGATGAGCCTGGAGATGTCAGCTCTGACACTGTCACCACACAAACATTCTTTGAACCCAGCAAAGATGGCCAACTGCAGCGGGTCACAGTGCTGGTGGGTGCCTCTGGCATGGGGAAGACGATGACGATCAGGAAAGTGATGATGGATTGGGTGGAAGGGAGGCTCTGCACACAGTTTGACTATGCCTTCTGCATAGACTGCAAGGAGCTTTCCTTTTCCAAAGAAGTGAGCATGGTGGACCTCATTTCAAAATGCTGCCCTCAACAGCAAACACCAGCTGGAAGGATTTTGGGTAACCCGGAGAAGATCCTGTTCATCTTTGATAGCTTTGAGGCCCTGGGATTGCCCTTGGCTCAGCCCAAGGACGAGCTGAGCACTGACCCCACAGAAGCCAAACCACTGGAAACCACCCTGCTGAGCTTGCTCAAGAGAACTGTCCTCCCTGAGTCCTCTGTGCTCATTGCCACGAGACCAACAGCTCTCCAGAGCCTGGGGCAGTGCCTGGAGGGTGAACATTATATGGAAATTCTGGGGTTTGCACCAGCTGCAAGGGAGGAGTATTTCCACAGATATTTTGGGAATGACAATAAAGCAGATGTGGCCTTCAGGTTTACCAGGGGAAATGAGGTCCTCTACAGCTTGTGTGTCATCCCCATCATGAGCTGGACTGTCTGCACCATCCTTGAGCAAGAGCTGCACAAGAGGAATCAGCTTCTTGCATGCTCGAAGACCACCACACAGATGATCTTGTTCTACCTCTCCTGGTTAACGAAGCATAGAATCAGTAATGCCTGGCAGAACCTGCAGCAGTTCCTGCACAAGCTTTGCTCCTTGGCTGCTGACGGCATCTGGAAGCACAAGGTCCTCTTTGAGGAGAAGGAAATTGAGGACCAAGGTTTGAATCAGCCAGAGCTTCTCTCCCTCTTCCTCAATGAGAAAGGTTTGGAGAAAGGCACAGACCATGGGAACGTCTACAGCTTCAGCCACCTGCACCTCCAGGAGTTCTTTGCAGCAATGTTTTACGTCCTGGAGGACCAGGAGGAAATGTTCAGTGACTCATGGATCCTTGCAAAGGATGTGAATATGTTGTTAGAAAGCTACCACACATCTAGGATGGATTTAAATGTGACAGTGCGGCTCCTGTTTGGTCTGGTGAACCCCAAGTCAGTAGAGTATGCAGATGAAGGAATCGGGTGCAGAATATCATTGCGACCTCGGGAAGATTTGCTGAGGTGGCTTCAGACAAGACACAGAGACATTTCCCATCCCTGTAAAATGATGACAGTTGAGGATTTGGACACTTTCCACTTTTTATTTGAGACAAACGAAGAAAGCTTTGTACAGAGCGTGTTGGGCAGTTTCACAGGAATAGCCTTGCAGGATGCCAAGCTGATGCTGTATGACCAGGTGGCTCTTTGCTTCTGCATCAAGCAGTGGGCTGGGCTGCTCAGTGTCACCCTCCGGAGCTGCTCCTTCCACCAGCAGCATTGCAGGCAGGAGCCAGCCAAGGGTTTGCCCTGGTGAGTACTGACTCTGTGCTCTGTATCCACAGAGGTTTCCCCTTTTCCCTTGCAAAGCAAAGTTCTGGAACATTCTGGAACTGTGAATGTCTCTTTCCATCCAAACACCACCTCCTGTCCTCACTGATGGTTTAGTCCCTCAATGAAGGATTTTACGTCTACTTGGTGAGAACTGTGGGACAACGTGGCCATACTCATCCCCTTCTTCCTAGGCAGAGCTGGCAGCAGGAGGAGCTGCACTCACCTCTGTACCCACTGTGCCAGGCACTGGGGCACCCAGGCAGCTTACTCCAGAGCCTTAGGTATGGATGGCCCTGCCCTGAGGCTTTGGATGGGCACCTCCACAGGGTGAGCGGCTGCACACCCTGTGTGCTGCAGGGCAGTGGGGTAAGGTGTGCCTCTCTCCTGCAGGCTGCAGTGGTGCGGGCTGACAGAGGGTGACAGTAAGGCACTGGGGACACTGCTGGCCACACTCCCCAGCCTGGTCCACTTCGAGCTGGGTGACGGAGCGCTGGGTGATGATGGTGTGAGGATGCTCTGCACCGGGCTGCGCCAACCTGACTGCCGCCTGCGTGTCCTGCGGTGAGCAGTGCCAGGATGGCCACCTTCCCTGCAACTCCCCATGGGAGTGTGTCCCCAGGCATCCTCTAGGGTGGCCGTGTCCCTCTGTCCCACTGCGGCTGGGAGGCACGGGGGGACCAGCACTGCTGAGGCTCTCTCCTGCAGGCTGCGGTACACCCACCTCACCAGTGCCTGCTGCCAGGACCTCACCGTAGCACTGGGCACCAGCACGTGCCTGGAGGAGCTGGATCTGTCCTTCAACACCGGGCTGCGGGATGACGGCGTGACGCTGCTGTGTGAAGGGCTCCAGCACAGCAGCTGCCAACTGCAGGCGTTGCGGTAAGGGCACACGGCACTCTGCACACCCAAGCGGCTGCAATGCCACCACCGTGTCCTCAGTGCTGTTATCTCCCCTTTGTTCTGCAGGCTGGGGAGCTGCAGCCTGACGGGCGCCTGCTGCCAGGCCCTGGTGGCGTGGCTTGGGCATAGCCACAGCCTGAAGTGCCTGGACCTGAGTGACACTGAGCTGGGAGCTGGGGCCACGCTGCTGCTGCGGCAGCTCCGCCATCACAACTGCATGCTGCAGACGCTGGGGTGAGTGTGGCCACGTGGACCTGGGGAGCAGGTGGATCCTGCTGGTGCTGAGGCTGTTTCTCTGCATTCCCTGAAGGCTGAGCACATCCACGCTGAGCAAGGATGCACTGCAGGAGCTGGTTGCCCTGCGGGCACTAAAGCCCAACTTGAAGGTGACAGACCTACTGGAACACGAGGCCCCAGAGACGGGTGCCATGGCACGACTGACCTTCCAGCGCAGCGTCTGGGCAGGCAGGGGGGCAACTATCCGGGGGCGAAAGGGGCTCCCTTCCTCTCGGGCAGCCCCTCCCCACAGCAGGAGCCTGTGCTAGCTGGGCTGTGCCCTGCTCTTCCTGCTGGTAACATTCCTCCCTGGTGCTTGAATAAAAAAGGGACGTTCACACTGAAAGACTATTTTACTGCTTAACACACACCTTAACGAGATGTGAGGGGGCAGCAGAAGGAGGAGCCTCGGAGCCATTCTGCAAGGCTGGGTGACACCCCCACGCCAGGGCCACCCTTCTGAGGGGGCAGTTGTTTTCCCAACCAGAGCCTCCTCACAGCAGGGGGCCTCTCCCTGGGGCACTGATGTCAACGTCATCATACCCCATCTCCCTGAGGGTCTCCTCGGGCATGGCTGTGGCATCATCATAGTCTGCACACAGCATCCCTGTGGTGCCACTCCTCTCCTCCTCAACCCCGATGCGATGTGAAAACTGCATCCCCGAGCCCTGCAGCAGAGAGCCTGGGGGGAGGATGGTCGCTGGGGGCACAGTGGGGATATAACAGTCTTGGCTCAGGGACTGAACCCGCTCCCACCTGCACGGCTGGGCCCCTCCGAGCACTCAGGCACCTGGCTGTAGTCCAGCTCCTCGTACACAGCCTCGGAGCCGGTGTCCTGGCTGGGGCCTACAAACAGTACACGTGTCACCGGGTCCCCAAGCGTCCCCAGTGGGGAGAGATCCCAAAGTGACACCCACCTGCACGCTGAGCCCGAGTGCGGTGCACCTGCAGGGCCAGGGCAGTCAGGGCCAGGCTCAGCAGCATCCCCAGCAGCACGCACAGCACTGTGGGCAGCGGCACATCTCCCAGCGGGGCAGCTGTGGGGACAGAGAGGGCAGCATGAGGCCCCTCGGGGACCACCCAGCAGCGGGGGCAGAGGGCACGGCAGAGCCACCTGCGCAGACGTCCCCGTCCCGACAGCCGCTCCCCGGGGCCGGGCTGGCGACCACGTCGCTTCCATCCTCATCGCAGGCCACGTGCGTGACCCCGGCGGGGCCGCAGGACCGCAGGCGCCAGGGCGTCGAGGAGCAGCGCCAGAGCGAGCGGCTCCCTTCCTCGCAGCGCACCCGTCCCAGCCAGGCGGGGCCCGAGCCCCGATCCGGGACGGCGTGCAGCCTCCCCGCGGCTCCGCAGCCCAGCTCTCGGCACACGGCGGCGGCCGCGGCGGTGCCGTCTTCTACGGTGCCGTTGGCGCAGACGCGGCCCCACGTGCCGTCGTGCAGCAGCTCCAGGATCCCGCCGCAGCCGCCGCCCTCCAACCGCAGGGCCCGCAGCGCTGCCACGGGACGGGGCGCTCACGGCTCCGCATCGCCGGCGGCACCGCGACGGCAGCGCCCGTTCCGCGCTCACCTGAGCACACCGCTCCGGCTCCGCCGCCGCCGCCGCAGCCGCCGCCCGTCCCCGGGCAGTCCCAGAGCACCGCCTCCGTCCCCGCGCAGCCCCCGGCGCCCGCCCACGGCGTCCCGGTACCGGAGCCGAAACGCTCGGGGCCGGGCGCCTCCAGAGCCGTCCCGCAGCGCAGCTGGCGGCAGACGACGGCGGCGTCCCGCAGGCTCCAGGCGTCTCGGCACACGGAGCTCCAGGCGCCGTCGATGTACGCCTCCACCCTGCCGGCGCAGCGCCCGGGGCCGCCCGCGAGCCTCAGCCGCCGGCTGCCTGCACGGGAGAGCCGGGCTGGGGCCGGGCGTGGATGCGCGATGCCCGCGGCCCTTCCCGGGACGCCCACCTGAGCAGACCACGGCCAGCGCCGAGGGGCCGCGGCCCAACCCCGAAGCGTTGCACTGCGACAGGAACTCCTCGCCGCCCTCGCAGCGCAGCTCCGCGGTGCCCGAGCCGCCTCTCGGCGCAGTGTACGTCTTTTCGGGCACCCCGCAGTCCAGCTGTCGGCACGCCACGGCCGCGGTGCCGTTGTCGCGGGATCCCGCGGACACGCCGGTCCAGACGTCGGGGCGCGGGGACACCTCCAGGCGCCCGTCGCACCGGCTCTCCCCGCCCCGCAACCGCAGGCTCTTGGCGGCTCCGGAGCAGATGACGGCGGCCGCCTGGCCGGGGACGCAGGCGGGTTCCCCCAGCACCGCGGCCGGGCACTGGCCGGGGTGCCGCTCGTTCCCCACGCAGCCGAGGTGGTCGCGCCGCAGCGGTCCTTTCCCCGTCCCGAAACGGCCTCCCGGCTGAACGGAGGCGGCCGAGCCGCAGCCCAGGTGTCGGCAGAGGACGTGGGCGTCGGGCAGTTTCCAGGATCCGGCGCAGAGCGGTCCCCACGTTCCCCGCTCCTCCACCTCCACCCGCCCGGCGCAGGGCGAGCCGCCGTCCGCCAGTCGGAACCCGGTGTAGGCTGCGAGAAGGAGAGAGAAAGAGAGAGGACGGCGGGATGCCGGCCCGGGCTGCGGACTGCCGGCCCCCGGCCGCACGCTTACGGGAGCAGACGACGGCGGCGGGGTCGGTGCAGCGGTGCTCGGGGGCCGGCCGCGCTGCGCAGGCGGCCAGGAGGGGCTCGGAGCCGTCGCACTTGAAGGCGCCGTCCCAGAGCGGCCCCGGCGCAGCTGCGAAGCGGCCGGGCTCGGGCAGGGCCAGCACCGCACCGCAGCCCAACTCCCTGCAGAGCACCCGGGCGCTCTCCTCGTCCACGCGGCCGTGGCAGACGCCCAGCCAGGCCCGGCCCCGCCGCACCTCCAGCCGACCCTCGCAGGCGCCGTCCCCTCCGACCAGCCGGGAGAACCCTGCGAAAGGCGCTGGTGGGTCCGGAGATCGGCGCTGGGTTCCCTTCGAGGCCGCCCGCCCGCGCCCTCACCTTGGCACACGACGGCGGTGTCGTGGTCGTGATGGCCGTCGTAGGGCCCCCAGCCCTGAATGGCGCAGTCCCAAAGCACGCTCTCATTCCCTCTGCAACTAACTACGGCCAGGTTGATGGGACCTTCCGCCGGGCCGAATTTTGAGCCGTGATAGACGCCGGCCGCCGAGCCACAGCCCAGCTGCTGACACACCACCTCGCCATCCTTCATGGTCCAGGCGCCGTCCGCCACCGTGCCCCAGCGGCCCCGCAGCTTCACCTCCACTCTCCCCTCGCAGGGTCCCCTGCCGGCCGCCAGCCGCAGCTCTAGCGCCTCTGCACCGCACACGGCATCAGTCACGGCCGCAGCTCCCCGCGCCCCACATCCCCGGCGGGGTCTCACCCGTGCAGGTCACTCCCACGTCCCACTCGTGGCCGCAGAAATGCCGTCCCCAGCCGAAGTTGTAGCAGTCCTGCAGGGCCTCCTCCGTTCCCCGGCAGTTGAAAGGGTGCAGCCAGATGCGTCCCTTGCCCTGCCCGAACGGGGCAAACGGGGATGCCCTCACTGCGGCCCCGCAGCCCAGTTGCCGGCACACCACACCGGCCCCGCGGGCGTCCCAGTCGAAGTCGTAGGCGCAGACGGAGCCCCACTCGCCCTCGTGCTTCACTTCCACCCGCCCGGCGCAGCGATGGCCGCCGTCCACCAGCCGCAGATGGGCAGATGCGGTACTCATCTGTGGGGACGTTGCCGGGGCCGGGGACGGCTGCGTCACAGCTGCAGGCCCAGCACTCAGCCCACACAGTTGCGTGCAGAGCAGCAACCGCAGCACCCTGCAAGGCTCCATCCCACCCCACAGACCTGACAGCCCGGGCCGGGAGGGGAGATATAGGCAGCCCCTGCTGCCGGGAGCCAATGGGTGCAGCGGAGGCCCCTCGCAGCCGTTATCAGCCGGGTTATCAGCCGCCAGCCACCAATAACTTGCACTGTGCCCAAATATGAGGCTGAGCTCCGCTTCTGCCCTCACACAGCCCTGCCGGGGGGGCTCAGCACCCGCACATCCCCAAGGGGAGCCACCAGGACCTGGCGTTACATGTCCTACAGCTGGGGCTGGGACAGAAGCATCCCCAGACGGGGTCTCGTTCTGTATACCCGTGCCTGTTCTTTGACCCCCCCGGGCCAACGAGGTCCCTGTGCCCAAGGCAGGTGCACGCAGCACAGGGTCGTCACCGCCCGCAGGTGTGCGGACCCATTGCCCCCCCCTGCAATGCAGGCAGGGATGGGGCGGTTCCCCCCGCGAGGACCTGGCGTCGGCACCGACCACACGCAAGTTCCCAACCTCCGGGACACCTGCGGTGCCACAATGTGGTGGTATGGGGACGCCGCCAGGGGGCACGGAGCACAGGCGGCCGCTTCCAAAAGTGAAACCTGCCCATCTGCTGCGCTGCCCCGCCGTTTCCTCCCACTCTGCACTTCCTGCCCCACAGCTCCAGCAGGGCCCCAGTGCTGATGGATGTTCTGGGCCTCCTCTGCTTGGCCTGAGCAGCCCCAGCCACACTGGTCTCTTGCCTACCTTTCCTGACTTGCTGCACCTGGGGATGGAGAGCTTCCCTAAAGACCTGCCAGCTCTGTTCAGCATCCTTGCCCATGAGGACAGACTCCCAGGCTGTTTTGTTCTTTAAATCCCCTTAGAGCTGGAAGTTGTCTTTCCTAAAACTTAGAATCCCGATTTTACTCTGTCTGTCCAGCACCCCTCGGGAAGCGATACAACAGAAGGGATGGCATCTGGACCAGGGCCCTGGGCAGGACTGAGAAGCGGCCCCATGTGAACCTAACAAAGTTCAACAAGGCGAAGCAGGGAGTGCTGTCCTTGGGTCGGGGCAATCCTAGATATGCGTGCAGACTGGGAGAAGAACTCAGTGAGAGCAGCCTTGTGGAGAAGGACTTGGGGGTTGTGGATGGCAAGAAGCTGGACACGAGGCAGCAGTGCGTGCCTGCAGCCCTTAAGGCCAACGGCATCCCGGGCTGCATCAACAGAGGGGTGGCAGCAGGCAGGGAGGCGACTGCCCGCTCTGCTCCGCCCTCGTGAGACCGCATCTGGAGTGCCGGACCCGGTGCGGGCGGTCACCCAGCCCCGCAGCGCGACGCCGTCCGCCGCCACGGGGAGCGTCCGCAGCGGGGAAAGCGCGGCACGGCCCGGGGCCGAACCTTCCCGCGGGGAGGAGCCGCGCGCACCTCCCGCCGCCAGCCGGCGCTGTGGCGCAGCCTTCGTTCTCCGGAAGCGGCCGAAGGACGGCGGAGGCGACGGACGATGGCGGAGCAGCTGCGGGCGGACGGCGTGCACAAGGAGGTGCTGCGGGAGGGCACCGGGCCGCTGCCCGACTTCCGCGACGGTACCAAGGTCAGCGCCGCGCCGCGCCGCGGGGGGGAGGGAGGGGCGGCGCGCATGCGCCGGAGCGGAGCCGGTCGTCATGGTGACGCGCGGCCTACACTCAGGCCACGTTCCACTACCGGACGCTGCGGTGCGCGCCCGAGGAGACGGTGCTGGATGACAGCCGGGCGTGGGGCAAGCCCATGGAGCTGATCGCCGGAAAGAAGTTCAAGCTGCCCGTGTGGGAGGCGATACTGCGCACCATGCGGCCCGGCGAGCGCGCCCGCTTCCGCTGCGAGTCCAAGGTGCGGCCGGAAGGGGCGGGGCGTCAGGGGGCGGGGCTTAGCGGGCGCCGTTTGGTCCGGGGGGGCGTGGTCTTGTCACGTAGAGGGCGGGGCTTCGCTGTTTGTGGGCGTGGTTTGCCGTGGAGTGGGCGGGGCTTTTCGTTAAGGGGCGTGGCTTGTCGATGGGGGCGTTGCTCGGTGCTGAGCGATGTGAGTTCGCGCTGTTGGGGGCGTGGTTTGCGACCGGTGGGCGTGGTTTTATCACGGGGGCGTGGCTCGATGCGGAGGGGGCCGTGAGCTGCCGCTGGGCCTCCTCTCGGCCCCACGCCTGCCCCCTGAGCCCACCTTGCCTGCAGCACGTGGTGCTGTACCCCCTGGTGGCCAAGAGCCTGCGCAACATCGCGGCGGGGAAGGACCCTCTGGAGGGGCAGCGGCACTGCTGCAGCATCGCCCAGCTGCACGAGCACTACTCGCTGGGCTACCCCGACTTGGACGAGCTGCAAAAGAACCCCCAGCCCCTCATCTTCGACATCGAGGTGCTCAAGGTGAGCGGGGCCCTGGGGTCACGGTGCTGATGGACTGTGCCCCACGGCAGCCTTTGACCGTGTGCGTGCAGGTGGAGGAGCCTGGCTCCTACCAGCAGGACCCCTGGGCCATGACAGATGAGGAGAAGCTGCAGGCCGTGCCCCTGATCCACCAGGAGGGCAATGAGCTGTACCGGCAGGGCAAGGTGCGGGAGGCAGCCACCAAGTACTACGACGCCATCGCCTGCCTCAAGAACCTGCAGATGAAGGTGGGCTCCCCCACCCCTCGGGGTTTCGCCATCCTTCTGTCAGCGCTGGGGCTCACTCTGCCCTCCTGTCCCGCAGGAGCAGCCTGGCTCTCCAGACTGGATCGAGCTGGACCAGAAGATCACCCCACTGCTGTTGAACTACTGCCAGTGCAAGCTGCAGAGTGAGGAGTACTACGAAGTGCTGGACCACTGCTCTTCCATCCTCAACAAGTACGAGGGTAAGGAGCCGTGCTGGCTGCACACAGTTCACCAGGGAGGCCCGCGTGCTCCCCAGCTGATGTTTCCTTCCCTGCAGACAATGTCAAAGCCTACTTCAAGCGGGGCAAGGCTCACGCGGCCGTGTGGAATGTGGCCGAGGCGCAGGCTGACTTCGCCAAGGTGCTGGCACTGGACCCCTCACTGCGCCCTGTGGTCAGCAAGGAGCTGCGCAGCCTGGAGGTGCGCCTGCGCCAGAAGGATGCAGAGGACAAGATCCGCTTCAAGGGCATCTTCTCCCAGTAGAGCCCGCCACGCTCTCCGGGTCAGGTTCTGTTAGATATTCCACATGTGGAATGGTTATCCATGTTTATTAATGTTTAATACAACGTTTATTGGAAGTCAGCGGAAGGCGCGTGGGATTTCGGTGTGGCGCAGAAGGCACAGTGTTACGTGCTGGACCATTGGATGGCAGTAGAAGCATGGATCTCCTCACTGAGCCCCAAACTGCGCCCAGCGGCACAACGGTGGGAAATCCAGTGGAGGAAACGAGCCCAGGCCAACGCTCTTCCGTGCTGCTTTTTATTCCTTGTTTGGTTTTTATCCTTTCTGTTGGGCCGAGCTGTGCTGTGTGGGTCTAGGTGAGCCCATTGATGGCTGCAAGAGCTCCAGTGCCAAGGCTGTGCCCCATGTCCTTCCCTTCCATGCCACATCCTGCATTGCCACTTCGCAAGGCTGCTGCTGCCAGCTTGCAGCTGCGTTTCCTCTGTACTGCATCGCAGCAGAGCTGTAAACTTTTTATCTGAACTGCTTGTTTCCACTACGTATATAAAGCCATGATCATGCTATACCGAGATAAACACAAGTAAAACTCATCACAGAAAGACATCTGGTCAAGTAGAAAAAGTGCTGTTAGAGATAACCAAGTAAAACCAAAGGGCAAATAAGAGCAGTTGGGTGCTACCACCTTCCGTGACACCTGTGGGGCCCTGGGCCAGCATCACTCTGAGGCTGTGGGGGTACAGAGCAGACAGGCAGCCCCAGCAGCTCTGCTTTACATTGCTTTATTTCACAATGAAACAAACAGAACAGAAGAACCATTTCTTTCTTTTTCTTTTTTTTTTAATCTCAGCCCTTCCCTTGCCCCCACAACACCGAACAGAAATAAATACAAGGGTGCAGGGAGGAGGCTCTGTGCCTGCCCTACCACCACTTACACCTGGGGCAGAGAAAGGTGAAAGGGAGCCTGGGGGCAGCACCCCAAACCCCAGAGCTGGCAGGGCACTGCCAGCAGGTATTGGGGCAGCAGGGTAGAGGCAGAGCTGGGGGGCAGCAGGCAGGACCCAGGGGGGCTCAGCCTAGAGGGGGTCATTCCACCCCGTGGGGTGGCTCAGAGCAGTGTGGCTGTGCCCTGCAGCTTCAGAGTGCAGCACCTTCCTCACTTCCAGCTCCAGCTCCACGTTGGAAAATGAAGGCAGTGTCCGGGAGTGGGCAAAATGGCAGGGGTTCACTCCTCACCCTCCAGCTTGAGGCTGACACTGCGGGGCTTGCCACGGGCAGGCAGGGGGCCCCCGTCCCGCTCCGCCTGGCTGGAGCCCCGTGAGCGCAGGAGCTGGCTCTGCTTGCGGAGGAAATCGACAGGCGCCGGGCAGCCGTAGGTGCCTTTGCCCAGCACAGGCCGAGGGGGTCCTTTGGGGGAGTGCACTAGGGCAGCAGCCTCCAGCTGGGCGAGGTGGGCCACGTAGCCCTCAGACAGGAACTGAGAGATGTAGGGACAGCGTGAGACCCCAGTGAGGGCATGGGACCCCTCCAGCAGCCCCAGCCCTGTTGCCCCACCTGGCATTGGTTGTGGAACTTCTTGACAGCACGGCCCACGATGTAGATGTGTGCCGGTGCCAGCCCCAAGGAGCTGTAGACGGAGACATCCTTGGTGGAGCCATAGCCAGCAACGATGGCTATCTCTGCCTGCACAAGGAGAGGAGCATGAGGGTGGGGACAGAGCCTCCCCACCACCCTGGTGTGAGTGTCCCAGCCCTACCTCGGAGCGCAGGCTCTGCAGGAAGGCTGCTTTCTGGCGGAGGGGGTCGTGGGTGAGTCCATCACAGAAGGAGACAGCACCATGGGGGAAGTTGTGCTGGGAGAGCCAGGCCACCACGCGGTGCTTCTGCATGTCAGGGCGCCCCGTCACGTAGATGATCATGTAACCCGAGTCCTGCCAGTGCCTGGTACACCAGGGCACATGATACATACTATTACCAGTGGTCTACATGAAAAGTGGGTTGGAAACCACCAGCTAACCGAGCAGGTTCCAAAACTTTGGTCTGCAGACCAAGCTGTGTCACATCACAGTAGGACACCCTGGGATGGATCTGGTGCTCCCATGGGGTTGTCACTGCACAAAGCTGGTTGTCCTTGTAAGAAGAGCACTTACCGTACAACATCGACAGCTCCCGCCCGCACTTTGGGGTCACTGCCCATGATGGAGACACTGGCAGTGAAGGAACCATCAATGCTGAACACCACTGACTCAGTGCCCCGGGCCACCACTGTCAGGTACGCCTCCGCGTAGCTGTGGTCGCCCCTGGGATGGAACAGCAGCAAGGCTCAGTATTGGCTCTGTTACCTCCCTCAGCCCACAGGAGGGGAGGTGGCTGAAGTGACCCCACCAGAAGCACATGGCCAACATCTCACCTGACCACCATGCGCACAGGGTAGATGCCAATGGCCAAGGCCTTGTCCTGAGGGATGGTGAAGGTTAGGCGTCCGCTGCCACTCGTCACCTCTGTGCCGTAGTACAGCCACTTCCCTGACAGCGGCTGCGTCATGATGTAGATGTCCACCTGGGTATGGGCAAAAATGCCATAGTATATTCCAGTCTGAAATCATCACTATCCTCTCCCACCATCCCACAAGGTCCTATGGAGTCCTGGTTCCTACAGCCCTTCCGTTTAGGCATAGTTAACATCAGCACTGTCCCCTCCTGGGCGTTCCTGCCATTCACCAGGGCCCCGGGAATATCCCCACAGTACCTTCTCTCCCGTCAGTGTCACCACATCCAGGGGGCCATACATGAAGCGCCCACTGAGGACCTGGGCTTTGCCTTCACAAATAATGACGTCGCTGGCCCGGTGGTTGGCTGTCACGTTCTGCAGGGACACACACAGCTCAGCAGCACATGGCAATCAGAAAAGCCCCCAGAAGCAGCACGTGGAGTCTACCAGGATGGGAGCAAACCCTCCTGGCTGCATCACCCCACAGTGCTTGGGGACAGCTCGAGCCCAATGCAGCCCTAGGGTGCCCATACCCGGATCTTCACTTGGGTGCGCTTGCGCTGCCACTTCTCCCGGGGGAACGCGGGGCTGTAGATGGAGCTCTCCTCGCTCTCAGCCGGCTGCGGACCCTCCTTCTCCATCACCTGGCCAGGGGACACTGCAAGGCTCAGCCTGCACTGGCTGAGTGTGCTGCCCACCCTCCCACGTGTGCCCTACCTGGCGCAGGATGAAGGCCACCACATCGGAGGACTCCCAGTAGCTGGCGTGGAAGAGGTGAGGCAGGGTGATGGTGGGGAAGGCAGTCAGCGCATCAGGGCAGTACAGCGAGTAGTCAATGCGCTTCAGGCCCCACCAGCGTTCCAGGACTGTGCAGAGAGCTTCAATTAGTCCATCCCTGAGCCTTACCCCCCAGCCTGGCCCCATTCCAGGGGTCAAGCCACTCTAGCCCCTTGTGCCTAGATGGTGATGGCACTCACTCTTGACGACTTCGCTGGTGCTGGCAGGTGTAGGGGGGTCTCCCGGCTCGCTTCCCCTCCAGAAGCCCCCCCCAAAGCTGCCAGTGGGAGTGGGGGGAGCAGCCAGGTCCACCTCAGGCAGGAAGAGGGCAGAGTGCATCTGCAGGGCCTCCGCTGCAGACAGCACTGAGTCAGGCCATCCATAGCCCCCCACTGTGGGGATGCCAGCCCCCAAGACCACTCACCCAGCAGGGAGGAAGTGCCATCGCCCAGTGGGTACTTCTGGTAGCGGGGCACGCTGAGCGGTGGCACAGCATGGAAGGCTTTGGCCAGGAGGGGCTCCAGGCGGGAGGCGCAGGGGTCAGCGGCATGGAAGAGGTTGTAGATCTGCTCACAGGCAGGACGCAGCTGGGCCACTGGGGCAAAGAAAGGGGTCAGGGCAGGGCGACGTGCAATCAGTAGGGCTGAGGGTACGAGGAGTTGAAAGCAGGACCCAGCAGGAGGAGAGGATGAGGAGACAAAGCCAGGAGACCAGTGGCACAGAGGGGATGCTCAAAGCATGCGCCAACACTGAGATATGTACAGCCACAGCGCGAAAAACCCAAGCAGAGCTATCTGGGGAGGACAAGGGCTTGAGCCCCACAGGGGGCTTGCACCGCAGCCGGCGGGGCTCCTCACCATCCAGAGCAGGCATGACGGTCTTGCGCAGTGCGAGCACCAGCCCCAGCGGGGAGCCGAAGAGGAAGAAGCCGGATACCTTAAAGTCAAGGCGGGTGCTGGTGCTCTCTGCCCCATCCTGTGCTGCAGCACTGTTCCGTGGCGCCTCTGCCTCCAGTGGGGCATCACCAGGCTGTGAGCTGCAAGAGCAGAGCCAGTGGGCACAGGAATGGCAGTGCTGCGCCCACTGCAGCCCATTTAGCCCAGAGGAGCTGCTGGGAGCAGGGGAGCCCCAGCACTGTACTGCTGCACCCATGCAATGCTCCCTCCAGGTACAGATGGGGAATTTATCGTTCACATAAAGCACAAAGTTTGTATGGAGGGTGCTGGCACTCCCACAGGCCCCTTGCTCTCACCTGCATGAGGAACCTGGATGCTGGCTGTCCCCTGGCTCGGGGCTGGCCTGGCCCAGCCCCATTGCTGTGTCTGCCCCGTCAGCCAGTGGGTCCCGGGCGCCGCACAGTTCGGGGGAAATGGGCTCTGTGCTCTGTGGGTGGACAAGAAGAATCAGCTATCAGCCAGATGCTGCCAAGCTGGTTGGTAGTTTTTAAAAAGAGGCACCCACCAGGCTGCCACGGCGGCTGCTGCTTCGGCTGCCCCCAGCACCTGCCCGGCTTTGGCACAGCGCATCGAAGCCCAGGATGCCTCCCACACAGTCCCCAAGGAGCACTACCTGCAAACAGCAAAAAATCATCCCAGTGGGAGCCAAGCCCCAGCCAGAATCCAGGACAAAGCCTCCCCTAATCCCCCCTACCCCTCTCACCTGGCCACAGAAGCCAGTGCCCTCAGCAGAGTGCAGAAAGGCGGCATAGGCCTGGTTGGCACGGGTGATAACGTTGCCCACAGCATGCTGGTAGCTCCCCGAGGAGGTGGCCAGCAGTGGGAGGGCTGCCAGTGGGATGTGGTCCTGACTGCTGGACAGGCTGTCTCGGTCATGGCTGTAAGGGCTGAGCCTGGGGGAGACATGAGGATGGGTCAGCAGGGATGCCCCATGTCCCTAATCCTTCTCTGTGAAACCCCTCTCCGAGCCCACCACCTCCCTCCTGGGGGTGGCTTGCATGGGGACAGCCCTCTCTCTCCATCCTCACTTGGAGACCAATGCATAGGCAGCGGCACAGATGGGCGGGCAGGGCACCAGGCGCAATGCCACATGTCCCAGTGCCTCAGGGAAGTGGACACGGGTGACAGCATCGAAGGTGGCAGCCAACGTCTGCACATCCGCCTGCTTGGAGCCCAGTTCTCCCCCTCCCTGGTCCAGGATGTTGCCACTGTGGAGGATGAGGAAGAGCACGTGGATCCGGCACGCCTGCACCGTGCTCTCAGCGGAGCCGCCCTGCAGGAGAAGAGCACTCCTGTCTGCACCCATGCCAGGGACCCAGCTGGGAGCTACAAGGGATGGGTGAGCAGCTCACACACCTCGGAGAAGCTGGATGCTGGCTGTTCTTTGCCATCTGTCCTGGAGGTGCTGTGTCCCTCCCCTGCAAGCACATCAACGGTGAGCAAGCAGAGGTGTCCATGCAGGGGTCAGCCCCATCCTGGGATGGCCACACTGGGCTTGGGTAGGCTGAACACATCCTGCTCACCCAGATTCTCATCCAGCTCTGCTGGCCGCTCCAGCGTGTCCAAG